TCTTCACTGAAAGTAGCTGGGCTGCAGTTAATCTGGACTCAGTGTGACCCGGATCCTAGGGGCTGCAGGGAACAGACCGCAACAGGGTTTGGTCTGGTTCTGATCGTGCGGTGCTAGTCTGCACTGGGAGAGAGGTGGTGGACTAAATCCTGGGCAGCCTTACGTGCAGAGTGTCCTTCCAGGAGCAGGCTGCACCGGGACTTTTTTCATTTCTTGGGTCGGACAGAAACCGAGCTGCTGTTGTTCTGCAGAGTTGGTAAGTAAAATTTAGTAGCTACATATGTACGTTGTTAAAATTAGTAGGTTTAAGAGTTTAAAAGACTGATTGTGGGCTTCATCGCTGCAGGGTACGTCTGCAGAAACGGAACCAAGTCGGATCAGAACAGAGTTGGACCGGAACAAGTGCCGCTCCTGTTCTGAAGAACTAGTAAGTAAAATTTAGTAGCTACACATGCAGTACTGTACATATGTTGTTAAAATGATGTTAGTTTAAAAGTTTAGAACATTGGAAGAGTGTGGGAAGTACGAAAAAAATTGAATGTCGCTTCTTTGCAGAATTTCACTTACTGCGGGGTGCTAGGAATGTAACTTCCATAATAAACGAGGGATTATCGTATTGTTTGCAAGTTCTTTTAGCCTATGATTTATTAGGTCACCAGAAAGTGGGAAATATGTCATCTATCATAGCAAAGGCAGACATAGTTTGGTCAATACTAAGTTCCCCACATTTGATTTAAACAAAAATTAGGGCCTATAATCTGAAAAAGGGCCAAGTCAAACCAAATGTACTGTCAGCAATAGATCTTGGGTTTGTGGTGAAAAAGCATAAAACTGTTTTCTGCTGTCACATAAAGTTTTCTACAACCAACAGCAGCTGATCAACATCTCAAAAGCTCAAATAATATCTCAACTACAGCCCCAAATCTCAAATGAGTTGAAAAGATGTTCTGTGGACGCATTCTCATCTACATGCCAGCTGTGCTCGAGTGCCTGACCACTGAGATCCTGGAACTAGCAGGAAACATGGCTCATGACAGCAGAAGGACAGGATCGTCCCTCGGCACCTACAGTTGGCTGTCCACAGCGACGAGGAGCTCGGCAGACTGCTGGGAGGAGTGGCCATCGCTCTGGGAGGAGTTCTACCCGGCATTCGGGCGGTCCTATAGCCAAGAGGCCAGCCAAGTCTGGGTGGATGGATCAGATGGCATCTGCAGCCAGTTTCTTAGGATCCACTGTGGGATGGACCTTTACAAGAAATCCTTCCTGCCTACAGCCATCAGCATCTACAAACCGGATTCCAAAAAAGTTGGGACACTAAACAAATTGTGAATAAAACTGAATGCAATGATGTGGAGGTGCCAACATCTAATATTTTATTCAGAATAGAACATAAATCACAGATCAAAAGTTTAAACTGTGAGAATGTATAATTTTAAGGGAAAAATCTGTTGTTTCCAAATTTCATGGCGTCAACAAATCCCAAAAAAGTTGGGACAAGTCCATTTTTACCACTGTGTGGCATCTCCCCTTCTTCTTACAACCCTCAACAGACGTCTGGGGACAGAGGAGACCAGTTTCTCAAGTTTAGAAATAGGAATGCTCTCCCATTCATGTCTAATACAGGCCTCTAACTGTTCAATCGTTTTGGGCCTTCTTTGTCGCACCTTCCTCATTATGATGCGCCAAATGTTCTCTATAGGTGAAAGATCTGGACTGCAGGTTGGCCAATTCAGTACCCGGATCCTTCTCCTACGTAGCCATGATGTTGTGATTGCTGCAGAATGTGGTCTGGCATTATCGTGTTGAAAAATGCAGGGTCTTCCCTGAAAGAGATGACGTCTAGATGGGAGCATATGTTGTTCTAGAACCTGAACATAGTGCAGTAATGGTGCCTTTCTAGACATGCAAGCTGCCCATGCCACAAGCGCTCATGCAACCCCATACCATCAGTGATGCAGGCTTCTGAACGGAGCGTTGATAACTTGGGCTATCCTTGTCCCCTCTGGTCCGGATGACATGGCGTCCCAGTGTTCCATAAAGAACTTCAAATCGTGACTCATCTGACCACAGAACAGTCTTCCATTTTGCCACACTCCCTTTTAAATAACCCCTGGCCCAGTGCAAATGTCTGAGCTTGTGGAGCTTGCTTAGAAATGGCTTCCCCTTTGCACTGTAGAGTTTCAGCTGGCAACGGCGGATGGCACGGTGGATTGTGTTCACTGACAATGCTTTCTGGAAGTATTCCTGAGCCCATTCTGTTATTTCCTTGACAGTGGCATTCCTGTTTGAGGTGCAGTAACGTTTAAGGGCTCGGAGATCACGAGCATCCAGTAGTTTTATACAGCCTTGACCCTTACGCACAGTGATTGTTCCGGATTCTCTGAATCTTTTGATGATGTTATGCACGGTTGATGATGATAACTTAAAAGTCTTTGCTATTTTACGCTGGATAACACCATTCTGGTATTGCTGCACTATCTTTCTGCGCAACAATGGTGGAATTGGTGATCCTCTTACCATCTTGGCTTCTAAGAGACACTGACACTCTGAGATGCTCTTTTTATACCCAAGCATGTTGTCAATTGACCTAATTAGTGTTAATTGGTCTTCTAGCTGTTCGTTATATGCTCAATTTCCTTTTTCCAGCCACTTACTGCTACTTGTCCCAACGTTTTTGGGATTTGTTGACACTGAAATTTTGAATCAACATATTTTCCCTTTAAAATGTTACATTTACTCAGATTAAACTTTTGATCTGTCATCTATGTTATATTACGAATAAAATATTGACATTTGCCATCTCCACATCATTGCATTAAGTTTTTATTCACAATTTGTTTAGTGTCCCAACTTTTTTGGAGTCCGGTTTGTATAACATCTCTTAATGAAATGAGGATAACAAGTTACAACATCAAATAATTCCTCTTTTGGATTAATAAAGTATTTTTGAATTGAATAACATTTAACTGAGAATGTTTAGTTCAAAAACATGTTATAAAGTAAATAAATGCATTATTTTAGTAACAAAAGTGTTTACATCAACTAGTTACAGTGTTTCTCCTAATTAACTTGCCATGGCGGGGTGCTTATCTCATCCATGATTTTTGTTGATGGGGGGGACGAAGACATGTCTGAGCGCAGCTTGTACCAACAATTTTTGAGCGGGGCGGGGGGCGTTCAGCATGAGGGAAGAGGCGCCTTTAGCTTTTTAGCTAGAGTCTGTATTTCGCGCCGCTAGCTTAGTGCTATGTCAGTGCCGGGTGTGGGGTGGGGGGGGCAAGTTCGGTTTGGTAGGCGGGGGCTCCGTTTTGTTGACGCGGTGGGACACCCCGCTTGTATAATGGTAGGGGAAACACTGTTACATATCAGCAATAAACATTACCCTGTTTAATAAACAGGGAAAATAATGAAATTAAACGTGTTTTCTAACAATAAACCAAAGAAAAAGGCAAATATAAAAAGATATAATTTCCAAAAAAAGAATATAAAAACACTTGAGTTTTTATTCTGATACTTTCAGTTATAATGCCTTAAACACACACAGTATCAATGCAATGTACCAGTTCACTAATTCTTCACAAAATTAGTTGAGATTTGTACAAAATAATTATTATTTAATTTCAGATGTATAAAGCAAACAGGGTCAAAATATAATTTTGTTTATGAAATCCATAATGGGGCAGTACGGTGGAACAGTTGGTAAAGCTACCCGGTCTCTCAGCGAGAAGGTTGCCCCGGTTCAAATCCTGGCTGGGGGCTTTTCTGGGTGGAGTTTGCATGCGCTCTCCATGCATACATGGGTTTTCTCCAGGTACTCCGGTTTCCTCCCACAGACCAAAAACATGCACGTTAGGCTGATTGGTAACTCTAAATTGTCCCTAGGTGTGAGTGAGAGTGAATGGTTGGTTGTCTCATTTGATTCTATGTGGCTCTGTGATGGACTAGAGACCTGTCCAGCGTGTACCCCACCTCTCGCACAATGATGACTGGACATTGGGCACCAGTGATCCCCGTAACCCGAAAAAGGAAGAAGCAGGTAAAGATAATGAATGGATGGATGGAGATCCATAATGGTTGCACTATCACAGTGCAACTGTTTCAGCACTCCATGATCACTAGATGGTGCTGCTATGCTCTGCTGGCTTCCCTACACTACACTTCCTTAGACAAATGTTACTAATTAAATTTTTATGTATATGAATGTATTTGTTCAGTGCCCTGAGATGACTTCTGTTGTGACTTGGCGCGTTATAAATAAAATGAACTGAACTGAATTGCTGTATTCACCACATTGTTTCAAATTCCAACAAGCATGACTTGACTTTGTCACAAGGCAAGACTACACATCAGTCTGCTGCTGAATAATGCAGTTTGTGTAAGTGCAAAATTTCCAAACATTTGGAACCAAACCTACCGCTGCATTACAGTTAAAGGGCTAAAGAAATTAATAACTATGACTCAGTAATACTGATTACAGTTCAGGAGCTTTATCATACTTGTGACAAAAGATTTTACTCTCATGAAGTTGTTTAATTAGTAATTAAAAGTTACCTAAGAAAGCATAAGTCAGTATATCCTGAAATGTCCACTCATTTAATTATGCAAACCACACACACACACACAGGCACATTCTTGTAAACGTACTTTACGGGGACTTTGCATTGACTTCCAATTCTTTTTCTATAGCCTAACCCTGATCCTTACCCTAAACCTAACCATTACTAGTACATGCTTAACCCATCCGCAATTCACACCTTTGTCCTAAACCTAACCCCACAATGAGACTTCTCCTTATGGAGACCTGGCTTTGGTCCCCATAAAGAGCAGTTGGTTCCCACAATGCATGACTTTTTGTAAAATTGGTCCCTACAAGGTAACCTGAAACAGAACCGCCAAGACTAGTGCACTCTAAACATGGGGTTTAAAATGAATTAAAACCAATTATTAGTGGCAGGTGGGAGGCTGCTTTATCTGCATGTATGAATAAATAAATGACTGACCAGGACTTGGACTGTCCAAAGTGTAGATAGTTGATACTGTAGAGATCCATGTCTTCAGTGTGCCAAGCAAAGGTGGTTTTCCACATTCCAAAATACAGGTATGGTGTATTGACACCTTCGATGACAATGCCACACTCCTGTTCCACCATATCCAACAGCGTATTGAGATGGCCAATGTTCCACTCTTGAATGTCCTGGACAGAAAAAGTATGCATTTGTATGAACAACACACATAGAAAGTTGCTTTAAATGGTTTTGCATATCGGTGTCAACCATATAGTGTTTCAGACATACATGTGTATACAAGCACTTTAACTCCCACTGTTACAGTATTCCCTCGCCATGGTAGTAAAGTTTGCACAAACTAACAAATCTTTTAGATACTTTAACAGCTAAGCTTTAAATAATTCACAAAGCAACCTCCTTGAATTTAAAAAATAACGATAATATTTAAAACTGGTAAACTACGATACTGAAATGAAATATGTGTCTAGTTCTCTTCAACTCTTTAAAAAAAAAAATGCATAACTAATAATCCCAAAATCTGGACTGGTACTGTATGCTAAAAATAGTAACATAAAACATAAAAAAATAATTCTCACATCATCATAAATAGAGCCACCAACATCAGCCCCATATATGGGTGAAACAAACGTCAGGTTCTTCCAGTATTTCCTCTCTAGGTCATCAAAGTCTTTATGGCGAGGTGTGCAGTACCTGAAGAAGAAACGGGGAATCACGTTTTAAATGGAAATCAAAAACCTTCAAATAGTTCTAGCAGTTGTAGAAACTCAAACATTTGTCTTCTAAATCAAGCTCTTTTTAACCTAGCAATTTTAGCCAGTTACCTTTAGCTGGTAGGTCTATTTTTCAGGTCTGTAACAGGCAAAATGCACTCACACAGAATGCATATACAGTGTAGGAAAATTTGTTCTTGGTAACATTTTGCATTTCTCTTAAAAGCGTTGAAACTTGAATAACTGGTTTTTGCTAACTGTTTTTACTTTACAGCAACAGAAACAAAATAAATAAATAAATAAATAATCACAAGACATGGCTACACCTATTCCAAATTTGGTTATAATAATTAATTTCAAGCTTTTAAATCAGGTCACTTAAAGGCAAAATAGTCCCTTTAAAGATCAAATCTTCAGCAACAAAATTTACAGTATCACCAGTTTGTTTACATGCTTCAAAAAATTATGAAATTAAAGTAGTGGTGGAGGAAGCAATCAACGGTCAGTGCAAGAGTGGATTTTTTAAAGATTATAAATTGTGTTTTAATGTTGTCATCTGTCACACCTTTGAATGGAAACATAAAAACATCCCCAGTGAGACTTAAATGAGAATTCGCTTCTTTGTTGCTGTTACTGCTCAACCTGGCTTAGTTGTATTAACTTCAGTTACTACCTGAGTCCAGAGTAACCTTTGTTTATTAGCATAGTTTTTTTTTTCTCCCTAAATCATTTAACATTTTTTTATAAAGTTATTCATCTTTACACAATAAAATCTAATTTACATATTACACTTAAAACAGCTACTTCCTTCATGCTCACATTATTCACTACAAACGCTGAAACATGTCCAAGAAAAATAACTTAAACGTTAGCAGTTTTCAAGTTTGCTGACATATAAACACAAATCATTTCCAAGAAGACAGAAGAGAATTAGAAGCCTTCTGTAGTTTCAATCTTTTCAAAACAGATGATAGACAGAATCTGCAAATGTGAAGAATTAGTGACATATTAACCACTATTTTTTTTTTATAAGGTCATGGACCCAGCAATAAACTTACTTCTTGCTGTTAGCCAGTTTGCGGTATTCACCAACAGTCATAGATTTCTTCTGAATGTTGTATTGGGTAAATAGACCTGACTGACCAGTCACCACTTGCATGATAGGAGCTGGAATCACCATGTCTTCAATGGCGTCATAAGAACTTCGTGGCTTCCAGCCTTCAGGGGGAATCACCTGCACAAACAAAAAGAATTTTACGCATTTACATGTCCATATCTCCTTGGTTATATACGAGGTTGGAATGAAATAAACCAACAAAAACTATTAAAATAAAACTACCGGTAATATAATTATAATGATATGAGACAACTGTAAAGACTATGTGAGCACAAAGAGGAAATGTGTCTAAGTGTTCTTACTTTAGCCAGGCCGGCACGATGAGCTCCTTGACTCTCCATATAGACAATATATTTGGCGAAGTCTTTAAACTCCTCCATGGTGGGTCGGAAAGTCATGATCTTGCAGCTGGGGTTTTTGGCAGCAACTGGTGGCAGGGGTGCTGGCAGAGGTATGGGGGGTAGCTCAGAACCTACGGCAGGAACTGAAGTTATGCCTGGGTCTGAAGGTTGAACTGGAGTGAGATCTGGAGCGGCATTTTGCTCTGAAGTTATTAGGTTATCAGGAGTTTCAGCAAGTGCTGGTTCCTGGGTGGGAATCTGGTCTTGGGCTGCATCAATATCAAGAACAGGAAAAGAGGCCGGGGTAAGATCAGGGGGAGAGGACAGAACAGGGTTAGGAGCCAACAATGTGTCCATGGGCAGGTCAGTAGCCATTGGAAGTTTGAAGGTTTGCAGGAAAATCTGTGAAATACAGATGGGTGGGTGGTTAGGGCAATACAATGGATTTAAACTTCATTTTAAACTAACAAAAAGCAAGACATTGCCAAAATACAGAGATGGAGTATTGCCCTCACTGACAATGCCACACACCTGCTCAATTATATCCAACAAAGTGTTGAAACAGCCAATTTGAAAATGTTCAAACATTTATATATATATATATATATATATATATATATATATATATATAAACAAATCTAATCTCTTACCACTTTATGAAAACAAACCTACAACACAACAAAACTGTAGCTTTCCAACTCTGCGCATTTCAATATTCTAAGATGCAGCGATTTCATCAGAAAGCCTCCAAGTTCTACATTTTTATGTCATAAATTACTAGGCACAAACATAATTTTTGCTATCCCTACACTAAGAATAAAGACTTTTTCAGATCTTTAAAATATGTCTCAATTGTAAAAGATTGAAACAATTGTGTAAAAAACAAAACCAAAAAAGAATACAGAAGTAATTGAGAAAATCGGAAAATTTATCAGAACCAGCGTTGATATATTTCTTCCTTGACACTGTGTCAAGGAAGTGTATTTTTTTACACAACTACCAAAATGTCTGCTTTTAAAGAGATGCTCACACTAACTTATCTTCAGTCATTTACATTCATTGTTATACAAGCAGTAATAATGTCAAGGAGAAAGATAGTAAACTTTGAAGTTTTTTTTTTTTAATCCATTTCCATTTTGACCAATTCTATTAATTTCAACAAACTATTATTATCAACTTAGATTGCCTTTTTTATTTTCTAGTTTAATTGTTTATTTTAAACTGTACTGGTAATTGCAAAATGAAATGTAAAAAAAGACCAAATATTTTCAAATAAAAAAAAAAACTACTTTCCAACCTACACAAGGTTATAGAGCTTTTTCTGTGCCCCTGGAATTCTACAAACAAATGTTTGCATGTTATTAGACAGAGGTATTTGCACAAATGCAAAAAAGTCACTTACAAAAATTACAGTGTACCCTTTATAAGACAGATTGTATTTAGTTGATGTTTTTAACCTTTATTTCCTTGCCTAAAAACTACAACCTATTTGAAGATTGAAAAATGGCTCTGGTGCATAAATGGGGAAAACAAATTATGGTAAGTAAAATCTAAAAAAAGATTTTGGGGCTATTGGTTAGTTACCTTTTATGCCAGCCATGCTGAAAACTGGCTGATTTTGATCATCGGACAATCAAACTGGTGCAGGCCTAGTTATATGGGCATTTCCAAAGAGTTGTTAGTTCAGTTGCCAACTTTCCCAAGAGCTAGGTGAGAGAGGGCATTGCTAACAAAACTACAAAAAGACCTACATTTTAGAAATATAACCCTCAATTATCTTGATGAATAATCATTTTCCTAACAGCACAATTAAGGAAATATTGAACAATGATTGCTTGCTTGTTAAGTTTGTCAGGAGAAAGCCTAAAGTCTAAACTAGGGGTGCACTGATAAATCGGCCGGCCGATTTGTCAGGCCCCGATTTCCTTAATTTTGGGAAATCGGCCAATACTTATGAGAAACCAATTTTTTGTAGTTTTAACAACAACTGTCTAAATTTCATTTATATTTCAAAACACTACCTCATGGCCAGTAAAAACAAATTTGTATTGTTTCTAGGATATTGTTCAAGGGTATGATTTTTAATAACATAAGATTGGAAAATTGAAGGTGCATTGTGACCTTATAACACCTGACAGTGTCGCTTATAAAACAAAATCGGTATCAGTCAAAATTGGAATCGGCAGGTCAGGCTTTTTAGAAATCGGGTGATCGGCCAGAAAACTGCAATCGGTGCACCCCTAGTCTAAACATAAATAAATGTCTACAAACCAAAATGAGCTGAAGCAACTTTGTAAAGAAGAATGAACATATATTCTATAAAAAAAAGCTGATAAGATCATACAAGAGATCATCGCTTTATGTTGTTACAACAAAAGTGAATTCTAAAAGCTACATTTTCCCACACACGCTACTTGTGCATTTTAGAGTTTGTTAAATGAATAACACCGTAATTATGCCATGTGCTGTTTTTTTATTTATTTATCAAAGTTATTATTGCTTTTATTAAAACCTATAGAATCCACTTGTTAAAGTATATTCTTATTTGAGGCATTGCTGCTTCTACTAAAAGGTCAAGATCAAGGTTCTTTATTGTCATTCATATCACATGTGGTACATGAGGTGGAATGAAATTGTGTACACAGGGTCCCAGTTACAGCCAACAATACAAAGTGCAAAAAGAAACAGTAAACAAGGATCTAAGATAAACTAAGACGTACACCAAATGGTAAGCTAAAAGATCCAAGACACAAGCCAGTCACTAATAGTGCAAAACAATACACCGAACAACAGCAACATGAACATGAGTCTTTGTGGGTGGATGAGTACGAATGAATGAATAAAGCAGCATGAAATAATCAGCATTAATTAAACCTTTATTTATACAGGTTAGTCCCACTGAGCCTAACTAACGGACTCATTTACAAAAGAGACCTGAGCATCATGCGATCAGAAGCATGGATAAGCATGCTAATAATAAAGTCTCTCTTGTAAATGAGTCCTCTGAGACTCATTTACAAGAGACCTGAGCAGCATGAGATCAGCACCATGAGATCAGCAGCATGGATAAGCATGCTAATAATAAAGTCCCAGAGGACTCATTTACAAGAGACCTGAGCAGCAAGAGATCAGCAGCATGGATAATCAGCAGCACATACCAACAATTAAAGTTGCATTACAGTGTTTGTGTTTTTCTTTCCAGTGATAATCCTGATTAGGGATTCATGAGCCTAACAGCTTCAGCTTCAAGCTGTTGCTCAGTCTAGTGGTTCTACACTTAATGCTCCACAACCTCCTAAAAATAACTGAAGCATCAGCTAAATAATTTAAAAGGTTTAAATTTAGCTGGTAAACAATACTTTTTAAAAAAAAAATTTATTTGGACATCGGTGGTCACAAACACGACAAGATGTGACATGTTTTACGTAAACTAAGACTAATTAAAATAAACATATCCTTACATTTCTAGGCAGTCTTTCATTCAGATTCCTAACAAATAGTCCACCATTTGTTTCTTAAGGTAAGACAAAAAAAAAGTGATTTCAATTTAACAACTCGTTTGCATATGGTTAAGAAAAAGAAAAACTTGACAACAGCAAACATGCCAGTAGTTTTAAAAGTCACTCTGCTTCACTGTAGCTAAACAAAAGCAATATGGCCCAAAGTGGCCCAAATACTACAATAAACATGTTTCAGTTTAAAACTGAGCATCAGATCATAAAAAACTTCAAATAACACAATGGACAGTTCCTGTTTTACCCTGATTTATTCGTGAAAGTCACAGGAACCCCAGCTGTTAAAAACCACAACAAAAAGGGGCCTAAATGGACCCTTTAATTCATGGGCCTGACCCTTATTTAAACGCTTAAGCGACCAAATAAAATATTGGGATGATGAAACTCATGAAATGTGTTTAAAACACAATTACGTATTTCATGCATATTGTTTTGTTGTGCTAAAACCATCATGATGGAGTAGTAGTACATTATTGCTCACTACTACTAGTCGACGCTAGCCACAGCTGTCTCTCACCCTATCATTCTTATTCACGAAAGCAGCGATAGAAAGCCATAAAACGATCGCAACGAACAAAGTACGGAACATTAACACGGCCAGTGCACACTTGTAATCTCTTAAATACTGAATGCATGCAACTGAGTCAAGATAATCGTGTCCAAAGGTTCAATTCAACGTCTTTTAATGTTAGCTAGCCTCGAGCTAACTGCATCCATTTAAAAAAGAAAACAACACGACGAAGAGCAACACAACATCGCGATTAAACGGAAAAAAAATACACTAAACCCTCATGCAATAAAAGAAACTGTGAGGAAATGTTTTACCTCCTGCAGCAAAATATTGCACTCTTTCTGTTTTGCTCAATTTGGTTTCGGTTAGTAAATATACCCCCCTAACGATTTTCTTCTAGCATTAAGCTAGTTTCCGGTCAAATCTGTTTCGAGTCACGCCCATCTCAGTCATTGTGCATTGTGATTGGCTAGTTAATGAAGAAAGTCATTTTATGATTGGCTCTTTTGGTAATGGACACACACAATATCCAATCATATCTAACGCCCTCTGGACCCTTGCGTTTCTGGGCTATTTAGGCTTTCTTACTACACGAATGCACACAAACACTATCTGGTTTGGTAAATGTCCTTCATGAGCTGCAGTGATAAAAATGTCTACAGCGCAGCCAACATTACGCATTTTCCCCATCTTGTTTCATGTTAAAGCTTTGTTAATCTATGAATTTACTCAAATTTCTTCATAAGCCTTGTTCAAGTTGTCCATACCTTGAACTCGGTGTGACACGATCTTCCTTTAAATTACAAGCAATCTTACCATTGCAGCTTAATATTACAAAGAGTTATCTTGAAAAATTAAAATGCTGAAATGTTATTAAGACACGTTCCCAATCCAACTACACCACTCAAGCTTTTATTGAATAACACTGTATTGACAAAATTTTGCAAATATGTGCAAGGAATTCAAAAAAAAAAAAATACAAATCCAAAAAGGTCTAGAGAAAATTGTACATATTCAGAAAATATACATTTTTCAGGTTATGTATTTTTTTGTCTAATAAAACATGAGTGGCATTAAAACACACTTGATGAACTTTAGCACAACATTTATTTAACAGACAATGGTAACGGAGAAAAAAATAAAATTCAGTTTATATCAAATGTTAATTTTAGAAGTGGTTTGTATTTTTATTGAGGCTAAATGGAAACAGTTTAACTTGGATGGCACAAATTGTGAAAAGATGGAAAAAGCATAGATTTGCCTATAATTATCCAAAAAATACAAATGGAGACTCTAGGCTCAAATAAGCTTGAATATAAAAGGGTCAACTTAGAGCTAGATAGATTAATGGGAATTCTACTTTACTCTTGCTTCAGCATTGGTTTCTTTGGACTATTTCATAGTAAATCATTAAAAAAATGAGGGAAAGCTAAAATCTGATGGCATATATTGTGCTTTTCAATCTACAGTCTTTTAAAGAGTTATCAAATTCATCAGGAAAATGTTATTGTTTAGAAATTTATTATACAAATCAAAAAAAAAAGTACAACGTTTAATGACACGGTTTCTAAATAAGACACTTCTTTGCTTGAAAACGGAAAAACAAACCCCGTTTCTTCTGTTTGTCAAATTTGGGTTCACATTTTAATATTATTCAGAATTAACTTTTCTTTCACATTAGTGCAATTTTAATCTAAGAATCTTGCTTGGACAAATTAAACCAATACATTCTCAGCTGTTTCTATTAGCACCAACATTTTAACCATCTGCGGCCACCATAACGGCAAGGCAAATAACATTTCAATTAAAAATATTACGTAAAAGAATCTTCGAACAAGTTTGAAAGTGACTTAAGCAGTCTTGACTAAATATTTTAACGAGGGCTAAACATTGAATAATAATAAAAAATAAAATAAAAAACGGGGGGCACACAATTTCAATTATGGACACAAGCATTAATTAATAGAAAAATCTAAAACCCATTAATTTAGTAACGTTACAGCCAGTAACCAATTTTTTTTTGTAGTTTTTAATTTATCAAAAACAGTAAAACATGGCAGAATGACTATAAAAAAAATTGTAGTTTTTCAGCCCACAAGTATTGTAACTTTATAATCACAGAAAATATATTAAAAGAAACAAACTCTTTATTGCTTGGTCAGAAAATGCCCCTTACAGTTTTAATTGAGTTTCCTTGAGGGCTGAGCAGGCGGAAGCAATGATCATCGCCCGTTGTTGTATCCTGGGAAAAGCTGGGTTAGAATGTCCTGCAGCGCTTCGTTGACAGACATGGAGTAGTTCTTGCCCAGATCATGTCTGCAGGCTGGGCAGGTGTACACATCTGCCCTGAACGACCGTTGAAGGCATTCCTAAAGTAAAAAAAATAAAAACTTTAAAAAATAAACCCCAAGCCTTTTAAACTTCAATGTTTAACCTAACAAGCATAAGAATTTCAGTGACCAGAGGTTCAGCAGATGAGCACAAACAATAATCCATTATACCATGTTTTGTGGAGCAGAGAGCTGCCCAGAGGAGCTGGAGATGGTGGAGGTTAAGGTTAAAGTTACAATGCTCAGAGGCCCAGGGTAGGGGCAAATGAGTAGAGAGGCAGGTGTGGGCGTTTCACCTTCCCCACCCACATTTTGATGTTGTCAGTCCGGGGGGGTCGAACCAGCAAACTTCCAATCACTGGCTCACCTTCTCTAACCTCTGCGCCACCACTCCCCATAATACCCTTCCTCTACACACCATCATGTACTTTAGATCATTTCAGTAATGTCAGCATTACTTAGATCAGCAGTATAAAAGCCACTGAACAGAATTGTTAAACATTATGTCAGGTTTGCCTCGACAGGCTCAAATCCAATAAATTTTACAGCAACGTGGAACATCTCTTGAAACTAGGGCATTAACAGAGTGCTCGAGTAATCTACACATCGATTGCTAGGACATCTATCGAGGTTAAAAAAGTTACGTCGAGTATCCGTAGTGACGTCATATTATGTGACCACCGTATGATCGTAGGGGGCGGTGTTGCACTGTTGCAGGTCACACCGGGTCCAATCCACCGAACCAGAACCAGTTTCGGTTTAAGTTTCGTTCTGTACGTGCTGCATGTTTGCAGTTTAATAATAATAACTAACAGTTTAGTTTTCCTGTGACGTATTTGCAGTATGATAAATGGTAGGAGTATAATATACGCTCCCAATGTTTTGTTGGTCTTTTTATTTATTTTTGTATCTTGAGATTCTATGACGTCATCAAATACTCGAGTTCTACTCGGGTTTTATTATGTTAATGTCGAGTTTAAAAATTATATACCCATTCAACCCCTACTTGAAACCAAAATAAATCAAACCAAAAGAAAGAGGTTCAATGAGACTAACCTGTATAAAGGTTGAATGAAAATTGTGTGTATGCATATGTACCTCACACTTCTAAGCTGCACAAAAGACTGCTTCATATGTCTTTATTCACTGATACTGACCAGATACACTAAAAGACACATCGCGTGCTCATGGAAAAGATGTCAGCCTGTTTGAGAAGGGTCAAATCATTGGCATCAAACGGAGAAAACATCTAAGGAGATTGCAAAAACTACTAAAATTGGGTAAGAACTGTCCAACGCATTATTAAAAACTGGAAGGATAGTGGGGACCCATCGTCTTTGAGAGAGAAATGTGGCCGGAAACAAAAGCCTGAATGATCGTGATCGGCGATCACTTAAACATTTGGTGAAATCAAATGGAAGAAAAACAACAGTAGCACTCAGGGCCATGTTTAATAGAGAAAGTAAGAGCATTTCCACATGCACAATGTGAAGGGAACTCAATGAATTGGGACTGAACAGCTGTGTAGCCTTAAGAAAACCACTAATCAGTGAGGCTAACTGGAAAAAAAGGCTTCAATTTGCTAGGGAGCATAAAGATTGGACTCTGGAGCAATGGAAGAAGGTCATGTGGTCTGAGGAGTCCAGATGAACCCAGTTCCAGAGTGATGGGCACATCAGGGTAAGAAGAGAGGCAGGTGAAGTGATGCACCCATCATGCCTAGTGCCTAGTCATCAATTCAAGATATTGGTGAAAAATTAATTCATCAACACTGGATGGAAATAGATCTCGTGACATTGCAGAAGCTTATTGAAACAATGCCACAGCGAATGCATGCAGTAATCAAAGCTAATGGCGGTCCAACAAAATATTAGTGCGTGACCTTTTTTTTTGGCCAGGCAGTGTATATAAAGACGCATTCAACACAATGTTTTTCTAAAATCACAAGTGGCAGTAGGTGTTTTCAGACCAAATAATTCTGGGAGCGCTTTACAAGGTAAGGCTTTCCAAAGCAGTCGAAAGAGCAAGGTCTGTTTGTTGCCAATATGAACTGTGTGATTGTACAATGTGCCAAATTAAAACAGTATTAACATTAAAGGATGCAGTCAACACAGCTGCACCGTTATTGTGTTGAAGGTGTAAGAATTACAGAGTTGCAATGAAGATGTGCAGTTTTAGAACTTGAGTTTAGAATGGCAAGAAAGTGAAGAAGTTAAAATAAGAGCAACCAATTATATTTCATACCACAGAGGCTGAATTTGTTTAATGCAGATGAGGTTACCCCAACTTGCATATAGTTGCCTTTGGATTAAACAGTCAGAACGAACCATAACCTATGAGTTCTGGATTATCACCTAAATTTTACTATTCATGTGGACGGTTTCTTTTGGGGAAAAAAAAAACAAAAAAAAACCAGTTTATTGGTGCCAAGATGGCCTCCGGGGCCCACCCTCTCCCCGGTCAACTCCTCTGAGACGGTCATGCCAAAGTGGTTCAAAACACCTGGTGAGTTGAGTCTGTGTGACCAAAGGTCATGCTCAATAATCCAGGTATAAAATCCAACACTGTTCTGTCAAGTCATCTGGACGGTTTCTTTCTTGGTTGAGACATTTTGTCCTTCATCCAAAGGACTTCTTCAATCTGAGGAGCCACCAAACAAAACTGATTCCCACAAACAGCATATTCCAAACTATTTTCCCCCACTATGGAGTATGCTGTTTGTGGGAATCAGTTTTGTTTGGTGGCTCCTCAGACTGAAAAAGTCCTTTGGATGAAAGACGAAACGTCTCGGCAAAAAAAAGAAAAAGAAAGAAAAGAAACCGTCCAGATGACCTGACTGAACATTGTTGGATTTTAAACCTGGGTTATCGAGCATGAACTTTGGTGTTCATAATTCATGTTTTTTACCCTTCCAGGCAATGCAGCCTACTGTTCTAAAATAAAAATAAAGATTTTAAAAAAGTAATTGGAAAAAAAAAAATCTTAAAATCCACAGAAATATTTTAATACATTGAAGCTACACAAGAAGCTGGCATTGAAAAAAAACTTCTTTAAATTTTTTATTATTAGAGCAATTGCTTGGTGAGCATTCTTCTTGAGTTCCTTAACTTACAAGTGAACCAATCATATCCCAGCAGATAACACAACTTCCTCTGAAGTAAAAAACCCAATAAAGCAGCTAAGAAACTGCAAATGGCCACATTTCTGTAGTTAAACAAAAAGAACAGGAACTGCTTTACAAAATGAAAAATTGAGAAAACAGCAACCGACATGTCGTGTTTGTCTTCCTTACACACTTGCATGTTAATAATGCTTTATCACCAGCTCCACTGCTTGCTTAAAAGTAAATACTGTATAACAAAATCCTATTTTGCACTTGTTCCTTAAAAAAGGACAATCAGACGTTAACAGTCTCACCAGTAATGCACTGTGTAGAAATGATTTTCATCCCTATTTGCATCATTTCTAATAAGTTAGGAGGAAAACCTTGCCTTATTAATCTAACAGAATATTAGCTTCTTACCCTGCAGACGTTGTGTTGACATTCTGTGGTGATGGGCTGAAAGACCACTTCTTGGCAGCAAATGCAGAGGAAAACTTCTTCAACTTTGCTCAAGAATTTCTGTAAGAATAAAACCAAATTATTTAAAACCTGTCAAGAAAGAAGTCATCTGTTCATTTTTTTTTTTTTTTAAGTTGACAAGTTTTTAAGACTTGAGTGTTAAAATGACTTTACGCTTCCATTGTGTTATTTAAAGAAATACTAAACTTTTAAAAACAATTTCAAAAGTTACAGAGTGCAGTTTCAAAAAAAAAAAAAGGCTAAACCTTGAATCCAATGAAGATTCTTTATTAGAACACATCTTTAATCCAAACTAAACTTTTTATCCATACTTTAAGTGAACCAATAAATCTAGTTTAGACAAAGCCAACAAAGACCTTAGATTTCCATGTAACTGTACTTATATAGCATCTTTCTATCTAGTCAAGATACTCAAAGCGCTTTAAAACACAATCTGTGCCCTCATTTACTCATTCATACATCACTCTACTTTAGCTATATAAAGCTAATCTGAATCTGTAGACTAATCAGTGCTTTAGGTCACATTCATACACCGATGGGACACACATAGGAGGCACTAAGGGGTTCAGTGTCTTGCCCAGGGACACTTCAGCATGTGACTGTTGGTGGCATTGAACCACAAACTCTCCCATTGGAGGACGACTGTTGTAACCACTCAGCCACAGCTGCCACCACTGCTACTAGCTTTCTAAAAACAATAATAAAAAAAATAAAAAAGGTAGTAATCCATTATAAAGTAACTTGATAAGATGCTTGCATCGGAAAACTACTGCTGATATGAAAGTTTCAGTCTGAAGTAAATTCTTATTGTAAAATGAGGCTGTAAGCAGCTGCTCATTCCTTCAAAATCATGTCTAAAGACATATCTTGTGCTTGTGGAAACTGTGGTAATTTATTTTACAACAATGACACTATTGGCCTGTATTAAGCAAGCAAATAAGTGGCTAAAAACATTGGTTCTTTTTAACTAAAAGCAGTTTTTGAACAGCAACAGAAACACGAGTCTGTGTGAGCAGATGAGCACGCATGAACACAGCAACATGATAAGCCAATAAACAACAACAACAACAATAAGCCAATTAAACTGATAATAAAAAATAAAAATAAAAACATCCTCACCGGTCCAAGTGCCCGTGACTCCATGGCTTCATCCCACAGCTTCTTGTTTTGCTTGTCGCTCTTGATGAGGGTTTTCTGCTCCGGTGTAAGCTCGTACGCCTCCACTTTGACCTTTTTAGGAGACTTGGCTGGTGAGCTCTTGGAAGATTCTGAGAAAAAAAAAAAATATATATATATGTATACATATATATATATATACAGTATATATAGCTTTTATTATTTTAATTTTTACTTCTAAAGAGCAGATTTTCACATGCCCTCAAAAACTGTGATAATTTCTTCAAATGTATTTCTTCCATTTGTTACTAAATACAAAATATTCCCTACATAAATGCCTTGTTTTTTGTTGTAAAAACTAAAAAAAAAAAAAAAAAAAATTACACAGAAAAAATAAAAAATAAAAACACAACCAAAGGGCCTAAAGTCTGAAAGAACATACCGCTGCCCTGAGATTTTCTCTTCCTCTTCGCCTTACTGGGTGTCGCTTCCTCCTCGACCTCATTTTTGTTCTCCTTCTCCTTTTGATAACCAGCTGGATACTACAAAAAGTCAACATAATTACTTACAACAGCTCGAACATGCAAAGGATAAACAAAGTTGGGTTTTTTTTGTTTTGTTTTTTTTACAATGTAGTACATGGAACAATAAAACTTTAACCCTTTAAACAACAAAACAAATGTGAATTGTGATATTTACCTGAATGGTGAGCCCAAGTTTTTTGATGCGTTCCTTGCCTTCTCTGGTCCATGGAGCCGGCTCATCGTCATCACGCTTCAGCAGATACCGCCAGACCAAGAATCCAGACTTCCCTTTGTCTGGCCAGTACTTCACCACCTATGAAATACATAAAAAATAAAAGTTATTTCTCAAAGAGTTGGGTCACACAATTTGCCAGAAAAGAAAATCAAGTGTGTTTAATGCTACACTTGTTCCAAATTAGATCTAACCCACCAAACACTGGAGCATCTCTCATGTTCCCTCGTACCTTGTATATCCCGTCATATCGGTTCCCTTCCTCGGGGCAGTATTTACTGTGCTTTCGTCCTTTGCAGTTACGCACAACTCTGACTGGTTTGCCCTCTCTCCAGTTTTTGGCCTCTGCTCCATTTTTGTCATTTACAGGAACGTTGCAGTTGAGAGCCAGTGCCCTAATGAACAAAAACACACACAATTTAAAGGGGGGGGGGAGAAGGAAAAAGTACACCTAGACAACAACAAAAAATTAAAATTAGCATTACAATTGTTTTAGCCATACCGGTTCATGTGGGTCAGAGTTTGATCACATGATTGCTCAGCTGTTCTCTTATTTCCAGACAGATCCCGTCCTCCTGAGCCAGTATAGGTGAACTCGTTACCATCATCCTGTAAAGAAAGATATACACAACCATGTAGAAAGTTCTAGTTCCATAATAAAATACAACACTTTAACTGATTAACTGAACGTAAAACAAAATAGACAAAATGCAACATTTCTTAAAAAAGTTATCCTTAGCATTCATGCGTTATTGTTAAATATACAGGAAAAAAAAAATGCATACCACGTCGTCTTCATAACCTCCTGCCAGGACTAAGGAGTAGGAACCGTCGTTGCTTCGGCCATGAATTCCAGCAACATGAGGCCGATGAACACCAGATTCACTAACCTAGAAAAAAAAATTATATAGTGAAGTTTAGCATTTACTTAATCGAAATTACAACAGTTTTATAGCTTGTGTTAAATCTCCAATGTCAGTTACCTTAATTACTGGGAGGGACCCTTTAATTTCAAGTTTAAACTACATTTACAGTCTAACAAACGTTCTATCGTTTTAACAAACTGCCTAAATGGTTATAATTTAATCACTGATTTTATCAATATTTATTATTGTACACACTTGTTTGTTTTCTCATTGAGACCGAGTTAGACAAACCTGCACTCTGAATTTCCACAGGGAGCCGACAGGGACTCCGGGGATTGGGCCATAGTGGTTAGATGGGACAATGGTGCACTGCTTGGTTCGACCCACACATGCCATTCCCTAGAAAGTGAAGTTTCCATTTCAAAACTTTAGTATTTAACCCCCTTTTTAAAGAACAAAACAAAAACACTGCACTTAACACTAAGCACACAACGCGAGATGCATAATCTACTACAGGATGTGATTTTTTTCTTTATATGGGTAAGACTTCTTGTACATCACCTTGCCCCAGTCTCTCTGGCTTGAGGAGCTGGCAGAAGCCATCTTTGCCTTCTTCTTGCTTTCCTTCAGTTTCTCTCCAGCCAGGACAACTTCACTGGTGTCAATACGGCAACCCGGGCAATACCTGAGACAATAATCATGATTATGTTATTACTTATCAAGAGTTGTGTCTAGTGTTGGATTTTGTCAAAAAGCTATCAGATTTCTTACTAAACCCAACATTATTCTAAACATTTCACATTATTTGCATCATTATTTTTAGCTATACTTTAGCTTATTTCAACTAACTGAGGGTTAATCTGGATTTTTAAAAATGCATCAAGTTTCTACTCACCAATCCTCATCCTCAGGGATGGAAGTTAGTGGAGGATCCAGACAGTAGATGTGATAGGCCATGTCGCACTCATCACACAGCAACTGCTTGTCAGGATCCTGCTTGATCCCACAGCTGTGACAATTACACCAGCGACAGCTTTTCTTGGGATCATCCTTGCAGTGCTTGCATTCAGGTCCATTTGATCCTGGAGAATACAGATATAAAGGTGCATCTTATTTATCAATGCACTATGGTTGGGTAAAGAAAGTTTGGACAATGCAGATTTGTGTTATACAAGTTATCTTCGACCTACTTTTTAATGGACTCTCATTTCCAGCTGGAATTTCGCTCGGTGAACCAGGCTCCTCAATTTTATAGATTTCAGTCAGAAACATGATCCGGCAGTCATTAAGAGAGTCACCAGCATCACTGCGAATAAAGAAGAAACCCATTAAAGCTTTCGGCAAAGCTAAAACATGGCTGCAAATTCTGCTTCCAATATTTTCACTGCAACGTTGAGCAATCTGCCGATACCACAACAGGAAACCTGCTGCTACTAAACCAACTGTTGTGGCATTACAAGCCCCACAAACTGTTGCAATGAGATCCCCGAAGAAAGCATTCACCTGGCACCACAATAAGTGAAGATTACCAGATGAAGTTTTCATAACGTACTCAATATAGCATTAAACAGCACCCTCACCCAAGAATGATCTTGGCACAGATCTCTCGCAATGTGCGAGTCTCCCGCTTCTTCTGGATCTCAGCATCATACCAGTACCCACGTTCCTTGGGGTCATCTGGATTATAGTTGAGCATGACAACCATTCCGGGCTCTAGTTGATGCCACTCGTACGTTATTCGGGCTCTTGGGCGGACATCCTTGGCCAGTACCTGAATCACTCCATTCTCTGGGTAGCTGTGACAGTTAATATGATAACATATCATTATGCAACAGAAGCTCAAGCTACATGTCTTCATAGGTGTGTAATGGAAAAATTAAATAGAAATTAGTAGTGAAGACAAACAACCAAAACAGCTGCAGGCTCAAACAGTTACACCACACAGGTGAAGGTTCCTGCCAGAACTGTTGCATCGCAACCTCAAACACAAGGGCACTTTTGATAGAAAGCAAAGAAAGGGGGTATCCGTTAACTACACCAGACATTTATCTTTTAGTCCTCTCCTCTTCAAGATTAGAAAATTAACTCAGCTAACATGTTAGTTTTAATATTATGTATTCTTAAGCTTAGTCACATCCATGTCCCTCTGCCTGCAGATGATTCTCTAAATTGAAATTGATCTAAACTGGTAATAATGTGGCAGCCTCTGACCACTAGTTCCACTGACTTAAGTCCTGTGTTGTTCCTCACAACTTTTGTTTTTGGTCTGTCATAACTTATTTATAGTTTATTTTCTGGGTTTTAGCTACATGACATTCTTTTTGCACCTTCTCTTCTTTTGCTAAGGCTCCACTCTGATGTAATTCACTGTTAAATTTGGAGACTATAATTAATTTTATGGTCTCACCCAGAACATGAAATTGCACCTTTTAAAGTTTTCCTTGAAAGCTTTATTATCTGAATCTAATTATTGTCTGCATCGCTGGCGACTTTCAATTTTTACAACAAAAAAATAAAAAGATTGTGCTTACACTACTAGTGAGCAAATTTTTGTTAACAGTGGTTTGATGGCATCACTGCACACAGTTTTTTGCATGACAAGATTTGCATTTTACTAATTAAATAATCAAGAGATCACAATTAAGAAAAACTTCTCACTCTTCGTATTTGACGTGGTACAGGATCTCTTCCTCGTCTGGTTGTTTTTCCCCTCCCTCTTTTTGGGGCATCTTTGTAACATTCACAATCTGGGCCTCAAACCAAGCTCCCATGTTTAGGTCTCTTGCATCCACCAGGTCGTTAATCTTAAAATGCAAATAATAACAATAATTAAAAATTTAAAAAAACAAGTTGAATGATCATGGAGATCTCATCTTAAAGTTATCTTTAAGATATTAAAGAGCTTAAAAGTCATAAAACATACATTTCCAATTTTGACTTATAAAAACAGTCACAACATGTTGAAAATATGTTAACATTCAAAACCTTCAATATATACTATAAAGAAAGTAAAAATTTTTAAAGCTTTGAATTATCACTTTTTAGCATCAGCATATCTGGAGTTTTATTACATGTCGCCACTGATGCCAAATTTTAAATTTGTAAAATATTCACAGTCTGTCAAAACGTAACATCTTGATAACAAAGACTAATAAATGCAGCGTAAACATAAAACATAAGAAATGCCTTAAAATGAACAGAAAACAGAAACTTGTTCTGCATTAATCAATGATGATTATAGCCAGAAAATTACCACCTTGTGTTGTTTCCAGGCAGGTTCATGACAGATGTTTCTACGACTGCCTTTCTCTGCTAAAGCAACGCAACGCTAAACGCAACATCGGTTTAATCTGGACCACAATCTGCAAGAAGTACCTTGTAAAATCCAAATCCAGGATAGACGAGATCCGAGTTGTTTGTCTGAGCAGACGTTCCGGCGGTCTGACCTTCGACCTCGCCGTGAGTGGAGTTCTTGTCAGACTCGCTCTGGGTTGAACCACAACCGGAATCTGAGTCTGATAGCTCAGCTTCTTTGTCCTTGATTTTGACGACATCAGCAGGGGGCATCTTCTGCCTAACAAGCAGCTGCACTATGTCATTGAGGCCCACACTATAGTCAAATATGGTATGGCCGTCTTCCATCTATGAATACACAAACACACATTATTACATTACCAAAATAATGCATTCTTCATGCAAGCATCTACTGAGCTTACCTTAGACTGAATAAACCAAATGTTAGAAGTTATTTGTTAGATTCTAATAAAAATAAAAACTCCCAAACTTTTGCCCTATATCATGTTTGCATACATCAAAAGTAATATTTCAACCACAAAATCTCACCTGCTTGCCACGATAAAACAGTCTCTGTCTCTCTGGCTCCACCTTGAACAGCTCCATGATTTTGACACGCAGCTCATCCACCTTAGTGAGTTTGGACAGGGAATCTACCCGGTGGGTTTCCTTCCCATCCATGGTGCGCACTTGAATCCACATTGCAGCTGCCCTGTGTAAACACCCAAACCAAACACACTGAAGCAAAGCTTTTACTACAAAATATTTTATATTAGTGCATGCTAGAGTAATTTGTACGCAGCAATTTGATCTCACACACATTTAACACAAGTGGGAAAGTATTTTCACAAGAAAATGCCAAAAAAAAAAAAAAAAGAACATTTCTAAGCAAGTGTACTTTATTGATGCCTAAATTTGATGGAAAGCAAAAATATCCGTTATTTTATTTACCATTCCCACCATGGTATTTAAAAAGATTACCGTATTTGTCATTCACTGTTTGTCAAACATTTCTTGGAGACAAAATATAACAAGCAAAATTCATTTTCATTCTCTAGTTGTCAATAGGTCTCGACTGTTGTTGATTCAAATACTTGTTGCATTGCTGCTAGTCAGATACTGTATGCATTTCTCTAATAGGTTTAGCTGTTTAGCTTATGTTCAGGGGAGTGTAGATGTTTTTGATCCCCTTCAGAAGGAACAAAAACACCTACACCCCTCTGAACATAAGAGGATCTGCAGTGGGAGTGGTCTCCATCTACAAGTACTTGGGTGTACACATGAATGACAACCTCAGCTGGAGCAACAACACCACCGGCCTGATCAAGAAAGCTCATCAGAGACTCTACTTCCTCAGGCAGCTGAGACGAGCTGGTCTGGGAAGCTCGGTCCTCGCCTCCTTCTACAGGTGTGCGGTGGAGAGCATCCTGTGCTCCAGCATCGACGTGTGGCGTGGAGGCTGCACAGCTGCAGAGGGAGGAGCTTTGCAAAGGGTGGTGAGGGCTGCACAGGAGACTGTCGGAGTCGGCCTCCCCACCATCGCAGACATCTTCACCTCCGGATGCGGGGGAGGGCTACCTGCATCGTGGGGGACCCCACTCACCCAGCACACACACTTTTTGCCCCACTCCCCTCAGGAAGGAGTTTGAGAAGCATTGAGTGTGGAACCACTGGACTGAGGAAAAGCTTCTACCCTGGGGCTGTTAGACTCATGAATCTAACTGGAATAGTCACTGTGGGAAATTGTGTCGTGTTGCTGCTGATCTGTTTCATGTTGCTGCTGATCTGTTTCAATGTTGATGTGTTCATGCGTGCACATCTGCTCACAGACTCATGTTCATGTTTGTGCTGATGTTCAATGCTTTATGTTATGAGTGCTTAGTGTATATTTAGTTGATGTTTTTCTTAGTTCAAATCTTAGATGTTATTACTGTTTTTCTTATACATTTTATTGTTGGATGTAACTGGAACCCTGTGTACATAATTTCGCTCCACCACATGTACCACATGAGGTGCGAAAGACAATAAAGAATCTCTGACTGTAATAGCCACAGCCTTAATGAGCAATCCCTGATTAAAAAAATTAAGTAAAAATACAACGTAGCAGCTTCCTTGCACCCATAACAGCTGTGAAAAAAACACTTAAGTGTTTTTGATTTGAAATGTTATGTTTCTAACAACTTCTACAATATTAAATGATTGTTTGTGGTTTAATAAAACTGAAATTCAGGGTTTTTGTAACATCTGAATTAGCAAAAAAAAAAAAAAAAATTCCACAACTTTGCTTGCAAAAATTTGACAAATGATTATGGAAATTCTCCTTTAGGAATATCTAAGCACAGCTCACTTGAATATGATTTTAGCTCTAAATTTTGTTTAAGCGCTCTCCGGCGCTTGATTTTCTCCACTGACGTTTACGCTCATCCTTACAGCTTGTACACCGTTTCTTTTCAGAAGAGAAACGTGACCTGTGCCTCCGACTCCATTGTTCTCCTCCGACTCTGTTTACATCCAGGAATTATTTTTCTGACTCAATATCCATTGATGCCAAGACTGTCCAAAGTCCACTTATCAGTGTTCAAATGTAAACAAATGACTTGTAATTGCTGGTAACAAAACATGACTGCTGATTTCTCCAATTTCTTACAATTCACGCAGTAGACTTTTGGTAGTGAATGATGTATATGGTTTAGGTTAATTTGTCATGCAGATCAACACAAGGTCAACACTGCAATAAAATGCTCAGGATGAGAACAGCCTCGAATCGCCACAAAAAATAAAAAAAATACCAAAGCATATATGGTACCATATCTTATACCATAATATGTGATTATTCATCAAATTTAATACACAAATATAAAAACAAAATCTCATTTAAAAAAACTGCATATTTTGACAGCTATTTTGGCTTTAAGCCAGGTCCTGTTGACATATCGTCTAGTACAGGGGTCTGCAATATGTGGGTCTGGAGCCACATGTGGCTCTTTGGTCCCTCTGCAGCAGCAGCTCTGTCAAGCTTTGACCAAAACTGATATAGAACTGAATTTTATTGGTTGTTACATGAACAACAACAAAAATGATTAGTTCAAACTGTTTTCCTGTCATTTCTTCTGCAAATACATGAACAATGGAGCAAATACAAAAAGTAAAACATACTTTAACTTGATGCTTTAATTCTTTATATGAAAAACTGTATGCATGGTTTATAGATTTTTTTTTTTATTGTAAAAACTTATTTTTCCCCCTTATTTACAAGAATCTGGTCTTTATCTTTAATAAATGTTAAAAATCATTAAGATATTTTATGCTTTATATTGTCACCCCTACTGGCCACAAATGCCCACTCCAACAAACTTAAATCGGCCCACAGGCCACCAGTTGATGACCACAATTGTAGCAGGTTGTTGCGGCTCCAGACACGTTTAATGTCGTGAACGAAGGCATAAAAATGGCTCTTTTGATCGTAAAGGTTGCAGATCCCTGGTCTAGTATAATATTATGGTCTACATATAAAGAACTTGTGGTCCAAACAATACAGTAAGAACATATCCATGACTCCAAAATTGATTTAATAATGACAAATGGTAATAGTAAACATCAATTAACCTTTTTAACTAATGTAAAAGACTAAACAAACTGATTTTAAACCTAAAATGTGAACTATGGGCCTTGTTCCTGCCACAGACATAGACTCCTTCCTGTTCAAAGGTTAAGATCTGAAACAAACATTGTATTAGCTTTTAACCTGAAACATGCCAGAAGCTCCACAGATAAAATATCTTAACTGTGGGAGACTTTATAACGAAACTACTGTTGCTGCACAGGGCAGGCTTTCTGCCTCTCTGTACTGTACAGTGGTCTGTCGCCTTATCAGAAAGCGAAGGAAGAGGCAGATTTAAATACAGTGCGGGAAAATGAGCTCCAAGCCACGCCCAGTTCTTTTAAAAGCACATCCGGACGCGAGGGAGCGCTAGCAAACAATGTGCCTCTGCTGTCCTGGCTAGAACAAAAACTGTGAAACATCATCTTGTGTGTCGGTCTGAAATGACGGCGGCGTTACTGTAATAAAACATTGACCCCACGTGATAATTTTGAGGCCTTCTAAGTAATAAGGAGTACGCGCTGCGTCGTGTTGCTTTTAGCGCTCCCAGCAGCTGAGCTCGTCTCCCCCAGTCCGACGACAGTGAAACAAAACAAAATATCAAAAACAATAAAGTACCTCCTCCGACTTAAGATGCACTACTACCAGTTCGTTCATTCAACTTTTTTTCAAAGTGCGGACTAAAACTTTAGTCAATTGCGGGCGGCACGAGACGCTAAGACAGGAAAAGTGATGTGGGGTTAGCATTTTTGTTTTGCCGACTAACTGAAATCAACAAAAAACGGCGAAACTACCAAACTTTTCTACGTGTTTTAACAAAATGTAGCCGTGCAACAGGTAAACAAAACCAGAAGTGTAGTCTAGTTCATCGCCCACCTCTACATTAAACCTCAAATAAACAATAAATACACTTTTAAAAGTTAGGAAAAAACAAAGCAGAAAACGGTTTACCTGTTTGTTCGTCCAATAAAAACAATAAGTTTACGCTTAGAGAGAAAAAAAAGTGCACGTTTTGCCCCTAATTACTATTAAAAAATAGATCGGCACAACCAACTCGTATCTCTTGTCGAAGATTGATCAATGAGTTATTCTTCGACTTTGTTATCCCGCCTGCTCCGTAAGGTTCATCTTGAGTATTGGCTGCTATCCGTCCAGACTATTGCGCTGATTGGATAAAAGCGCTGTCAATCAACACAGGGGTTGGAGCTTAGCGTCAGCGCGCGAAACGACATTCTCGTGGGTGCAACTTGCCTTCGAAATTCTATCGCGAGATTTTGAGACGTGATATTTTACAGTGTCGCGTTTGTTTACTTCTTTTTGGTTTCAGAAATATTACTGCCATTAAAACAACTCTTCTTAACACGTGGAAACCTCCAACAGGCTTTAATCATAAATTTATTGACATCTTCACTTTGTTTAAATCTATTCATGGAACACTGAATCACTGTGCAAAGTGGAAATGTGTTTTCATGCAAAAATGGATAATTGCATTACACATGCACAATAGTGTAAATAAGACTTAAGAATAAATTATAATCTGTGAAAGAATTTCCATAAAAGTTCAGTTTTTTTTTTTTATTTGTATCAAAAATTAGGAATATTTTTTATTCTAGAGGTCATCTTAAAGCTCCCATTTGGCCTTTTTCAACCCACATTGAGGTCCTGACCCCAACTTTTGAAACCAATGGCTAAACTAGTTTGAGAACCTTTTATATGTTTCATTAACCAGCAGCTCATTTCAGTGATGTTTCCAAAAAAGAAAAAAAGATTTTAATTCACTCTTAAAATGATGCTGAGGGAAAAATATTGACTTAAACCAAGGCTATTTTGAGATTATTTTTTTTTTTTTTTTTTGGAGTTCCCATAATGTTGCTGCTTCTTCAAAAAGAAATCAAAACTGACATATGACCTGCAGAGATTTTATTCTCTGGCAACACAGGACTAGGTTAATCTGCCTGAATTAGCGGTATGTAATTAGCCAAATTTAAGCTGATGCAAAATACAAGAAAATATTTCACCATTAAAAAAAAAAATACAATTTATATGTTGATCAAAATAGCTCGACAGAACTTTTATTTATTTATTATTCCATATAAGAAAATATTGTTTTTACGCTAATACCTGTGAAGAGGACTACGAGGCATGTCTTTTTCTAAAGTCTCATTAATTTTCTTCTTCCTCTTTAGGTGTTCATGACCACAGTTTTTGTAAAAATAATCCTTCTAGGCAAAAAAATAAAAAACAAAATAAAATTGCACCCCAGAAATGGATCAATTAGCTATACGTTGTCTCTGGTGTGGTGGATCCTGGACAAAGTTGCTTGGGCGGTCCTGAAAAGCACTCAGAGCTCAGTGAGGAAGACAGGAAGTGAACATGACAGGCTAAGTCATCCAGGAAGTCCCTTTGTAGCTTTGTTACTGCTTGAGAAAGCACAACCGGAAGTGACTGCACACCGAGAAGGATGGAGTCCAGTTTCTGTTCAAGAGCCACGATCCTCCTGTCCATCTCCCCGGTTCGATGCTGAAGTTCTGACACCAGATCATACATCATGTTCTGAGTCTGGAACACAGCACAAAGACTTCACATCAACCTTTAATGATAGTTCTTTGACGTTGATGGTACGTTCTCATAAATCCCATCATGTCAAGTTGTTATAAACTTTATTATTAATCATTCAACTTTGATATTACAAGTTTCAGATTATATTTTGGTCTAAATTATGATTATTTATATGTATAAACATAAACAAATAAACAAAACAAAAAAGACTGAAGCTCCATAAAAACTTACAGAATCACTTTAGAACTAGAACATGTTAAATATATGCAATATTTCATATTTAATGCACCACAAGATCAACTTTAATTGGGTGATTTAAAGCTCTAAATACTTTTGTGTAAAAAAATAATAATAATAACCATTTATAATATATTGATTTATATCAAAGTACCAGTAATGATATTTTCCATAATTAGTTCACTTTGAATTACCAGATTAAGATTTGTTTTGTTATTTAAACTCTCTAAAAACTCAGAAGACAATACTGCGCTTACCTTTGCGAGATCGGCCACTGTATTTGCCTGGTCAGTTAATTTCCTTTGCTCCATCTTGAGTCTTCGCAGTCTACAAATAAAAACCAAAGTAACGGTCACTTCGTTTGTGAACAAAATTAAACGATGAACAGTTTATTGTGAAAAAACACTTTTCCCATTAATGTTATTTAAAAAACACAGTCAGAGCTTAGACTGGAAAAGAAAGGTGCGTGTCCAAATGTAACTTCATTTATAAGAAATGACGTCATAGTGATACCTACTGGTGGATGGCTTGCAGGAATTTACGCTGATGGTGCCGTACGCGAGCATGGTCAATCTTTTTCACCAACTTGGTGTTTTTGTAAATGAGCCACGTCTCTCTCAGAACATTTGCTGCAGTGTTTTTAATCTGAGGAGATCAATTATGGGAAACAAAAAGGTCAAATTTAGGCATAAGTATAATGTAAATAAAGTGTCTGCGCAGATTCTTCTCGTGTTATATTTTGCTGGTATATAATTTATTAACAATTAGGATTAATTGTAGAGATTATTGATGCAGCTTATAAGACTGAGCTTATTACACAGCTCATCAGACTGACCAAGTTTTTTGGATAAAAGATGAAACGTTTCAACAAGTTTTTATTTTTTACTTTTTGCATCCGTCCAGAGGACCTGACTTAACTTTGGTAGATTACAAAGCGTATTGGTTTTGAAATGTGCATTTATGCATGCAAACAAACCTTTTTGTAAAGCTGAGTGTCCATCATAAAGTTATGAACGTGTTTTTCGGCTCTGGTCAGTTCTGATTTTCTTGCAACAACGGCGACTACCAAGGCAGTACAGCCTGCTCCCTGAGGGGAGAAGCAGCAAATAAAATCACTGTATAGTAGAAAACAGCACATTCATCCATGTTGTCTGCAGTTCTGAAGAAGATTTTAGTCTGGTATTTAGGGGACATATTATATTAATTTAGATGGATACACTTTCAGTGTCATGAAAGATGACAAACTTCTGACAAAAAAAAAAAAAAAAAATCAAAAACGTCTAAACAAAATTCTAGATTTATCAAAAAATAAAACATTTAAACTGCAGAAAATAACAAAAATACAATGTAACGGAGCTCTTTCATTAAAACTAAGACTTGGGGATGACATAAAACTAAAATATAAATATATGTAGAGTTGCATTACTGATTTTATAAGGTTTCAGTGCTGTAAAATAAAAATAATAATAAAATAAAATTATCACCATAATTCCTGTTAGCAGGCAAACCCCTTTTCCACAGTAGGTGTGAGGGACCATGTCTCCATAGCCAATGGACAGGAAGGTGATGGAGATCAGCCACATAGCTCCAAGGAAGGTGCTGGTCACTTCCTGTGCATCGTGATGCCTGTCAAGACATGACACCTGACTGTAAAGTGGTTAGAGATAAAGCTACAAACATGTTTTAGAGAAAACAACCACAGATTTTTCTGTTCTAAAACACTAGAATATAAAAAAATAATGGGATTATGGGATACCTCTCACATATGCGGACAGTCCACGCTGCAATGATCCAACAGGACACGCTGAACACGAGCAGGACAGTGCCAGGGCAGATGGTCATCAGAGTCTTCATGACAAAACGAGTGTCGAAGCTGATCTTGTTGAGGGCCCCGATGCTGCGAGAGGAGGCATCGGTGAACAGCTTGCTGTGGAGCAGCATGACCCGGCCAATCAGGTACAGGCGCAGGAACATGGGCACGGAAAAGATGATGTCCATGTCCGCATCGGCCATGGAGGCTGTGCAGCTGAAGGCCAGTTGAGCAGTCCAGGTGAACATGTACTGGCCTGGGATAGGATGGATGGCACAGACGAGAAGCTCTAATGCGATAAAAAGGATTCTCTGAAAGGTCATGGCTATCCTCCAGTCATCTGCACCATTGTCCACCATGAAGAGCTGAAGAATTAAGGTATTTAAAAATTATTCAGAAAAAAAAGATAATTAAGCATTTTTTTTCTTTCAAATCATTTAACGAAGCTTGTTAGTTAAATCACCTTTAAAAGTTTTAAGGCAAACTGTGAGATGATAAATTGAAAAAAACACATTCTGTTTAAAAAAAATAGGCAAATGATTAACATTTTGCTTAGTTGAGTTGTAGAGCCTGGATTTTTTTCACCACTCATGTACAGTATAGGCACAGGAGGGTGCATCATTGTTGGCCTATTTTTTAACTATTAGTCAAAATCATATTTTTAAAAATATTTTTAATGATTTCAATGGCTGCTGTTGTCTTAAAAAAACAACAATAATCATGCAGCCAAAGTAAAAGTCTGAGCCAAAAACTTACTGAATTCAATTCAACTGTTAATTTCTTCAAGACAAGAAGCTCTTTAAAGTTACGAAGCAATAACATGTTTTTTTTTTTTTGTTAACAAAAGGAATGGAGTTTAGAAAATAAATTCAATTAAATTAGTACAGATACTTTGTGTTTTAATTTGATCTTAACTCATTTTATTGTCCAGATATCTTTTTAATTTTGTAAAATTACTAAGAAATACACGATATTGATATATATCAAAGTTATAATACCTGGATTTCCCTTGCGTGGTACATCAAAATGAGTCCAAGGAGAATGACGGTAGATATACTGATCAGACCCTTTATTACATATGAATAAACAGACTCCTAAACACAGAGAAGACAAAATAAGAACATAGTCAGTTTGCTGTACACACTTCAGAAAACAGCAGCGTGTTTGTGGAACTGTCCAGGTTTTAGTAAAGATTACAATTTAACAAACATACACAGTTTTATCAATACATATATTACTTAAATTATTAATTAATTTAAATTTTAATCATAATTTTTTGAAGACATTTTCCATTTCAATTATTGTTTTTTTTTTTAGTAATTAGCCACAAGATTATAAAAGGTACTTTTTCTCACAAGTTTTCTGGAAAATATATTTGTGTATGTCTAGTAAGAAAGTGTTCACAAAAAGTTTTTGCTATTTTTTTTTTTTTTAATTCATTTTTAAGACAACTATTCCTCATAAAAGATTTTCTTCACTTTTTGTTTTCAGTATGATGGAACATCAGATCTTTTTTATATGTCTTCCCCCCATTTTGTGCACCATAGACAAACATCTGAACAAGTCCAAGATGATCAGGCTAAAATGGTAAAAAATGTGTCAAAGTAAAAGTTTATATATGTTTAAATCTTGTCATTGATGTTCAGAGTCAGAGTTTCTTTATTTGTCATTCGCACCACATGCGGTACATGTGGTGGAACGAGATTGTGTACACAGGGTCCCAGTTACATCCAACAATAAAACGTAAAAGAAAAACGGTGATAAGTTCTAAGATATGAACTAAGAAAAACATTAACTAAAAATACGCTAAGCACTAGTAGCATAAAAACAATACATTGAACCGAAGTCTGCGTTTAGCCAAGATGAGTAAGAATAAAAAAACTGATTAATGTGGGGATGCTTGAGATCTCTGGCATTGAAGTGCTTCTTCCTCCTGATCTAATGGACAGATCTACAACAATCTAAACAATTTAAGATCCTTCATACACCTGAACTAGTTCTTTGATTGGCCAAAGTACTACCTCTTTCTGGGCTACAACTGATTCCAGTGTCAAACTGTACCGAATGTAATAATAGAATAATTTAAGACTTCACAGGCTGGTAGGAATGAGTTTATAGTCGGATATAACCCACCCCTTGATAATAATTGCAGTAGGTTTTTTGCATATATGCTCAAATTTCTACAAATGTTACCTTGCTGTAAAAGGTCCTTGACAGCTCAGTCTCGATGACCATGGCAATAATGCCAAACATCCCGCAGACCAACGCGTAGTCGCTCAGCTGTTTGCGCTTCCCAAACAGATCCCTCCTCTGACACAGCCGATAGCTTATGTCCTTCGTCTTCTTGTGCGGTTTGCTGGATTCTGCTCTGATCAGATTCTCACTGTTGGCCTTGCTGGAGTCTTCTCTGAGGACTTTGGAGAAGGCGTCCTCGAGGATGGCACTATGGAGAAGCTGAAGCGGCTGCTGACTTGACTGAAAGTCTGTAAAACTAGAACTAAAAGTACCCTGGCTGCTGAGCGGTCGCACTGCATCCCCGTTGAAAATATTGCCCGAGTCCAAGGTTTCCGAAAGTGGAGGAGAGAGTTTTGAGGGAGACACTTTTGATCCACTGCAGTGCTGGGCGTTTGTCTGCAAACAGAGATCAAAATGTGAACAAAGGCCATGTGAGGAACAACAAATTGTACTTATTCCTTAGAAAATGATGGACCCAAAAGTGAAAGTACCATTTGATTTTATGTTTTAAAAAAAAAGTCTTTAATTATCTTTTATATGAAATGCAACAGAAATGCATGTTAAAGAAGTTCGCAAACTGTCTGGACTATTCTTTTAAACACCTAAACAAAGATAAAACAAACAATAATAATAATAATAAATTTGGTGAGGGATCGACTGATTAGCCTAAACTATGTTGTCAAATTTTGGGGAGAATCTAGTTCTTAAAAAAAATTACAATTTTCTCAAACTTGAACACTAATGCCATTTAAATTGGGATTCAATCAAAGCCAGGGCATCACATTTTTATATTTATTGGGTTCTAAACTGATCATCTGACTACACATTTAAAATACTAGAAGACATTTTCTAGTATATTTGTAAACATATGGATTAAAAAATTCTATAAATCTTAAGTTTAAGGAAGTTGCCCATGAAATATACCTGAATATGTTGCTCCTCCACTGAATCCTGGTTCTCAAGTAAGCTACACTGGCTAGTGGAGAAAGATTTTAAACTTCTCTGACTGGTCGGCGTATATGATCTCTGTGTGTTGGTCGGACGGCTGTAAGGGAGATGACGGCACTTGAGTCCAAAAGACAGATCTTCAGATGACTTGCATGATGGGTCACCAGGTTTTGAACAATGGGACTCCCTCTTTTGGCGTTGCTGAACCAACAGCGGTTCCTTAACAAGAAGCTCTTTCCAGGTGACGTCTGCACTGACGGCGTGCTGGGGCTCTTTTTTAATTTTCTTATCCGTCTTGACACGCTCAGTGGATTGCAGAGGGATATTAAACAAATTTGGACACGTTACTTGGCTGCAGCCTTTGAGTTTAAAATGACTACAAGGCAGTTCTCTCTGAGCTTCTTGATCAATGCGTTGAGGAACAACAATATTCCTTGGAAGGTTTGCTGTGATTTTCTGCAGATCTTTGTGGTTTGTTTGCTGTGAGAAGCAACTAGTCGAACTGCGGGTGCTTTGAGAGAAAGTTTGGGTGTGAGGTGATGAAATGCTTCTCTTATTTCTAGCTCTGAAGTGGCTTTCTCGAACTGATCCCCGATTTGACTGTGGTAGAACATAAGTTTCAGAATGCTGAAGAGCATCAGGACAGGGGCAGACACATCTGCTGTTGTGGTTTGGACGCCCCACACGGTTCGCTGTTCTTCCCGCTGAAGGAGGATTATCGTCTGCGCTGCTAACCTGGTCACAAAGCAGCAACCAGTCCTGGTCGCTCAGCTGCGACAGGGCAAAGCTTGGGGTTTGTAGTGGCGACTTCTGAGCTGAACTTTTTGGAGGGCTGATTCCGTTCGATTTGTCACAGAGTGACGACGAAGCACAGCATTGACTCTTCTCCTGCAGGGATGACGAGGTGTCGCCCGACGCTTCAGAGTATGGATCGTGCTTCTTGTCAGAACCTGTTGACGCAAAGTGCTCATGGTCTCCATCTTGGAAGACTTCGCCCGTTGAGTCGAGGCGTCTCGTTGCATTGGTGGGTTTCACCAGAATTAACCTCATGGCTTTACTGCAAGGCATCACATAAAAATTTTACATAAAGACACATAAAATCTGAAAATATACAAGTTTATACTAATAATGGATAAAGTGAGCCACCTTCTTTAATAAGCACATTGTAAAACTGAATATGTAATACAAGACGTGAGCTGTTGAATAATCCTCAAGCAAATAACACAAAAACAAATATGCTGACTTTTTTATTTGACTAAAAATCATCTGCTTCACACGGCAGGCAAACTAAAGTTGCATTTGTGTACTGCATTTTTCAGCCAGTAAGTTAAGCACTTAAAACCATTTCATTTTCTCAAAAATCAACAGTGAGCCTTATAATCAGGTGCGCCTTATGTATTAATTCTGGTTGTGCTTACTGACCTCGAACTGATTTTATGTGGTTATTGTGAATGAGTTGAATAAAGTTTGACTTATTTGACTGTTTTATTTCGCTTAATCCGCCTTATAATCCGAAAAATATAGTAAAAGTTTCCATTTCTACTTCATAAAATCCTATTTTAAAATATCAGTTACAATATATAAATTCTGACTTATTTATATGCACAAAATTACTTTTTATTCTTTTAGATAGCTGTTACCAAGTTTGAGTTATAAAATAAATTTAGCAAGTAAAATGTATCACATTTGCCTCTGAGATGCAATGAGAACATTGAAAAGTACTTGTAAAGTACAAAATAGGTAGTGAATTATAAAGCAAGTAACTTTTATTAACAGAAAAACCTTAATGTCTGCAGCCACCAAAAACATATTGAGGCATTTTGAAACTCTGTTTTATGAATTAACAGTAATAATATGCAAGTACAGTACTGAGCTAACTGATCCCTTTTGTGTTTGCAAACAGGATAATTATTTAAGGCAATAATTTATTAATTACTGATTGTGTTTTTAGTAGGCTGAGAATAGAAAACATTCTGTCAAAAGCAGATTAGCCCCCTATTGTTTGTTTACTGAGCCTGGGGATCAGGGAGGCAGAAAAAATACAGATGAGCTGCTTCAAATTTCTAAAACAAAGATATTTATGTTTACATTATAAATCTGAAGGATGTGATAATACTATAAGTCTTATATTAGAGTCAGCAAACATTTGAGAAAATTCAAAACACCTTTCAGTTTCATATTGTTTGTGTCATTGTACAGACTTTGCATAGAGTAAAAAACAGAGATATATTAAAAAATACTGGGTTTTAAACTACATTAAAAAATAATGTCATGAGAAATCATGGTGGCATAACCCTGCAAACAACAATCATCAAGAAAATAAGGACTAAAATAAACATCTGAAGATTAGACAACTGTAAAATAATGCATGACTTGACTTTTATTTGGTCATTTTAACCTAGAAATTGATTTTGCCTTGCTTTTTTGTTTTATTACCATTTCCATTTATTAATCAAACAAAAAATGTGATCAAATTACCACCATTTCAAGTCCTTCTTACCTTCTTCGTGCATGTCCCAACTTGATGAAGCAGGTTACGAACAAAACGCGCACCTCATTGGCAGAACTGATGTCTCAAGGAGACGAAGAGCAGCCTGAGTGGGTGTTGGACAGCAGTTCTCCTCCTCCCAGTATGAACACTTGATAAAGGAGCTTTCGAGATGCTTTCCTTTGAAAGTAATGATTAGAATTCAACATGAAAAAAGAAACGGGCCGCAGCAGCTGCTTGGTGAAGGGTTGCCATGTAAATGGAACAAAGTGGGAGGGTGCAGGTTGGAAGACAAAAATCTGAAACATCAGACCACACCGTTAATGCAGAACATCACACGTAACAATTTAAAAACAGAGCCAATAACTGGGAGGAGAAGAGAAAATGAGAGGAATTAGCTCTTGTTGCTAAATGGAAAATAAAAGGTCAATTGAAGTTGTCATTGAAGCTGCTGGTTCAAAGGCCTTTACACTGTCTCTTATCTTTTCCGCCACAGGAGCCTCCAGGACAAAAGTGTCCTTTTTTAAACCTGATTCTGAATGAATCGAGCCAGTGAGGGCTCATCACCCGTGTCTTAGAAGATCTAACAAATGCAACTGCAATTCTGCAGCGTATAAAAAAAGAGGCATTTAAAAGCACCAGCTGAGTACTTTTATACATTTTAGTTTGATATTTGATGAGAGGATCATGCAATTTGACACAAAACCACTTACAGAAACGTGAATGCCTCTTTTTTTTAATTCTGCAGCTACATGTATTCAATATAAATGTGAGTTTAAAGTTACTTATTAATTTAAAGCCAATAAACTGGTACGCACGGCGGCTGAGATAAACAGGTTATGTTGACCAAACTAATCGGAGCTGTTGATATTAGAATTAATATTTTATGGTGTTGTATGTGTATTTTTAAATGGCTCTCAGTGTTTGTGCTCGCTGTTGCATCAGACGAGTCTGTAAAGCCTGCTGCCTCAGCAGCTCAGTATATGAATGTTGCTGCGCTGAAAAACATCTTTGTTAAAAGCTGCAGCGCTGCAAACTGTTGTTTGCTCACGTCAGTGAAGACAATGCTCATTTAAAGCCAACCATTGTACGCATTAATTAACCAAAAACATAAAAAAAGTGCTGCTTAAAACGTGGCTAAATAAATCGTCTGAAAAATTAATTCTGTTGTTAACTGGAATTTGGGGGGGGGGGGGTGTATCTTCTTACAAGAGCTGTTTCCACACAAAATCACTTTACAAGACTAACTTTAAAGTCAGCTATCACTTGTTAAAAACAACTGAGCAGAGCTGTGGCAAAGTTGAAATGATGTCCAACTACTCGTTTTCAGAAACTACAATCACTTTTCTGTTCTGTGAAAAACAGAGTCGTCTAAATTAAAAATCAACATGTGGCAGAGCAGGCAAGGAAAACAAATATCAGCAACTATCGCTACAGCTTCAAAAGATTTAACTCAGTTTAGTGTTTCTCCGCTAATACAAAAACAAGTTATTTCTCCTCTTAGAGAAAGCGACTACTTCAGTCATTTAGCAAAACGTCATGTTAATTTCTCCAGTCACACGACAATTAGCTTCTTGAAGCAGAAAGAAAAATGTTCTGCCTTCTGTAAATCTAAACTACCGTATATGCCATTAACTGTTACACTAATTCAGCAGTTTAGTGGAACCAATTTAGGCGTTTCTGCCATTGATTTTTAAAATAAAATTGAAAAAAAAAAACGTTGATTGAAAGAAATAAAAACTGCCGTTTTGCATTTTAAATACAGTGAAGATAGTGTGTTAGAAATCGCACCAGTTGATGTATATCCAGTTAACCTGGCCAATTTGAACAACAAAAAGGCAGCATCAATAGAAATTTATGCAACAAATGAAAATGCTGTTTTGGAATAAATGCTAAAAAGACCATTAAGACAGAAAGTTTTGTTGCAATAAATTTTAGGGTTAAATTTGGAATAATGTTAACTCTGCAGCCTGGACACAAAACTAAAGCCAACTTATCCTTTGAATGGATCGCTTCCCTTTTCATCTTCATTAAAAACGAAACAAACCTTTACAACACCTGCTGCTGTGTCTGACCGGGTTTAAGTCGTATTCCTCTAAACAGCTGTACAGATAAAAGCAACACAATATGATGATTTAGAGGTTAACTTTAATAAGTTACTCTCAAAACATCTGGCTTCTCATTTTTCCAGAAGAGCTGGGGAAAAAAAAAAGATGTAATTTAATTAATTGTATAGTGACATGTCTCATTAGAGTCTATGCAGGAACTTGATTATGATTATTGACTTGATAAATTTGCTTTTTTTGCTAGTAAATGGTAGAACAGAGTCGATTCTTCTGGCACAGGTATGTATGCATGAATGCTTAGAGGCGAAACTCATCAGCAGAACACATTTTTGACTGAAATGATTACTTGTTCCGATAAAAGTCTCTAATGTGCCCCAGTAGTTTCCAAGATGAATCATGTCAAAAAGAGCAATTTCACTTTGAGTTGTAGGAAGAAAATCGCTGATTCAGTGGGTTTTCTGGAGCTTTATTCCACTCCTTCTTCAGTTGTTGCTTCAGCTGTGACAGCCTCATGTTCGGGTTCTCCTGTTTTAGACGGGGCATGTTGGTTTCCTCATAGGCAGCAAATGCTGCTTTCATCCTACGCTCTGGGTGGCGATCCTCCTCCTCTGGCCCCGTGCTGGAAGACAAAGTCATAGTGGGCATTAATGAATAACTAAGATCTGCTGTAAGTAAAAGAACTTGCATGTAAAGCATGACTGTTACCTGAGCACAGCGATGGCATCCTCTATTGTTCTGGCTTCCACGGCTCCTTCATCAGCTATGACTCTATTAATGTTCTCCTCCAATGGAATCTCCAAGTGGCTTTTCTCTGTAGGAAGTAGTGGTATCATAGTTGGGGCGGAAGCTCTGGTCTCCATTAAAGTATATGATGAAGTATAGGATGTATATCCTAGCAATCCTACTTATGTCAGCATCTCAGATTTGAACTTTTACCTTTCTCTTGGATTTGCTGTTCCTGTTCCTGCTCATTCTGGATCATCTGCTCAATTTGGGCACGAGTTATTTTTCCACCAGGTCCAGACTCCTTCTGAAGTTTGCCTTTTATCTGGGAAGTTTCCTCATCCAGAAGTCGCTGGTTTTCCTTTTTCCGCTCAAGGAGTTCCAGCCTCTTCTTTTCTTTGCCATCCTGCAGTGACCAAATTAGTTTCAGAGATAAAAGTTGCTTATGTTTTGTGCTTAGAAAACTGTATGAGAGCTTCAGTTTCAGCAGTGGTCCTCTAACATCATTACAGAATTAATAAATGATCATCATTATGCAAACATTTATTATACTTTTTAGAGGTGTTTTATATCAAACAGTATAAATTACAAGATACATTTATTGTTATATCTCTTTTTAGTCCCCATCAGATGGTTTATAAAAAAATACAATTTCTCAGAAGTAGCTGTTACTTTACAACATATACAAAAGGTCATGTTAGGAATAACAAAAATATGATAGTATAGTGTTGCAAGCGCTTTTGAAAACCACTCAAAAACAAAATAAAAACAGATCTCACCTTTCTCTGCTCTTTTTTAAGTACGTGTTTGTCAGTTTCTTGCCAAAGCTTATCCTCTTCTTCCTTCTTCTTGCGGGCATCTGCCACAGCCATGGCCTCAGCCTTCCGGGCTCTGGCTGTGGCTGCCTTTGAGTTTTCACCCTGAAACTTCTTTGGCATCCTAACAGCTGCTTTTTAGCTGAAGGAGGAAAATAATTAAAAAAATTAGAAAAATTTGACTAACATGAAAATATTTCAAACACAGGTTCATATTGCTAAAATATAATCCAGCATTCATCTAATGTTACACGTTATTATGGCCTTTCTTTAAAAATGTTTGTATGATAATGTGCAGCAAACAACATTTTATATATAGCAACAATACAGATGTTGTACATCTTGTTCTAAAAACTGAGATTAGTTACCGAACAAACACATCAGCAGAGAGTTTTCAATGATGCAAAAGTTGTGAATGAAATGTCTAAAATTCTAAAATATTCTGCACTGCGTTTGTGGTTAGGAGTAGCATTTAGCATTAGCTAACTGGTGTTAATTTAAGTTGTAAACCTCATTATTCGCTCATTGAGCAGCTAATTGCTTACATTGTTATTTGACTAGCATTTAGCTTATCGTCACAACACCGAACTATTTAATGAAAATTATTTTTATACCAGTATGAGAGGAAAACCAAATCGCAGGCAAGCAGCAGTTTACTGTTTTGAAGAGGCACCCACCACCTCCTCCTCTATGCCAGCGGCGCGAAGTGATTACGTCATTGACGGGCGTGATTGCGTAACTACGCTTTACAACAAAACTCTTTCTTCAGAAATATAAAGCTGATATTGATGTTTCCTGTTCATTCTGCAAGCTTTAGCCAGAAACATCTGTTCATCTTTTTTGGAAGTGTACATACTCACAGAACTTTTGGAAGAACATTGTTGCTCTGATATTCAATAAAATCCAACTAGGTTTCCTTCTCTATTTCGAAAATGTTCTGTTTGGTAGATTTCAAGACGAAAGACTCCTCTCACTTATTTATTATCAATCTGTTCTTGTTTCTTGCTAAGTTCCATATCCATAAAAGTAAAATAATGCATAGGAAACTGTTTTTTGATCTTTTTGTAATGGATGTAAAACTGTATCTTGACTCAATCTCAGACTCAAATAACAAAAAGGCTATAAAAACAACAACAAAAATATCTGTAATGAATACAACTTAACTTTGTAACTCGCATGGATTTATCTTTGTATTTTTTATTTTATTATTATTATTGTTTGCTTCCTTTTTCTTCTCTTTTTTGATATGATCAATATTATTTAGTGTGCATTTTTTTTGTCAGAGTCAGAGATTCTTTATTGTCGTTCGCACCACATGTGGTACATGTGGTGGTGTACACAGGGTCCCAGTTACTTCCAACAATAAAAATGTAAAAGAAAAACAATGATAACATCTAAGACATGAACTAAGAAAAACATCAACTAAAAATACACTAAGCACTAATGGCATAAAAACATTACGTCGAACAGCAGCACTAATATGAGCATGAGTCTGTGTGAGCAGATGAGCACACATCAACATTGAAACAGATCAGCAGCAACATGAAACAGATCAGCAGCAACATGATGTGATTTTTTTCCACAGTGATTATTCTGGTCAGAGATTCATGAGTCTAACAGCCTCAGGGTAGAAGCTGTTCCTCAGTCCAGTGGTTCTGCACTTAATGCTCCTCAACCTCCTTCCTGAGGGGAGCAGGGCAAAAAGTGTGTGTGCTGGGTGAGTGGGGTCCTTCATGATGCAGGTGGCCCTCTTCCTGCATCTGGAGGTATAAATGTATGTGATGGTGGAGAGGCTGACTCAAATTCTGTGCAGCTTTCACCACTCTCTGCAGAGCTTTTTTATCTGCAGCTGTGCAGCCTCCATGCCACACGTTGATGCTGGAGCACAGGATGCTCTCCACTGCACACCTGTAGAAGGAGGTGAGGACTGAGCTTCCCAGACCAGCTTGTTTCAGCCGCCTGAGGAAGTAGAGTCTCTGATGAGCTTTCTTGATCAGGCTGGTGTTGTTGCTCCAGCTGAAGTTGTCATTTAAGTGTACACCCAAGTACTTGTAGCTGGAGACCACTTCCATCGCAGATCCCCTTATGTTCAGTGGGGTGTAGGTGTGTCTGTTCCTTCTGACGTCCACAATCATCTCCTTTGTCTTCTTCACATTGATGTGAAGGTTATTAGATTGTTGTATTTGAAGTAAAGTTCTAAATAAAGATTTGAAAAAAACAACAACACTTTACAACAAATGAATTCAGTTTGCAAATTATATTTTTATATAGCAAATACAGACATACAGTTTCATTAACTTTATTGTTTGATTATGTTTAAATATAAAAATAATACATAAATATAGTGCACATGCTTCCTGCCTTTTACATGGGAACGTCTTTTTAATTCAAAGGTAAAATAACATGCTTTCGAGCAAACGAACAAAAGCCAGGAGATTATTAAAATTAGTACATTAAAAAATTGCACAAATCAAACGTTTTAATTGCTTTTTTTTTTTTTGATAATTAAAATCAGAGATTTGACGATGTAGTACTGCCATATTTCCAGAAGGTGGCAGTAGTACGACAGAGCCAGAATAGATTTTCATTCAACCTTTATTTATACAGGTAAATCCCATTGAGCCACGAGGACTCATTTACAAGAGAGACCTGATTTCAACAAAGAATGATGACAACAATGGACAACAGCAACAACAATAAACAATTATAAAAAGTCATACTGCAGTTTTTTTTGTTTGTTTGTTTTTACAAATAGGATGGCTAAAAGAAAAAGGTAACAAAAAAAAAAACCCAGCTAGATTCTAAGGCGAATGTAGAAAACTAAAAACAGGAACATGTCTGCGTATGTAGACAGACAGATGTATCATAATTTCAAATTCAGACTCACATAAACAGTTCGCACAAATATCTTTAATAAAATTTAATACGTACTGCTTGGCAGGGAAATATCTATGGATTAATTTATGTGCGACATTTTGCATTTTGTTTATAAGAAAGTATCTATAAAATAAACATTGGAATACATTTTTCAGTCTACTAATTAATATGGCCTCAAGCTCTAATGTTAAAAATCTTATTGTTATTTTTGATCAGGATATGTATTTTAACCCCCACATTAAAATCTTTACTAGAAATGCCTTCTTCCACCTGGTAATATCTGTAAAATTAGAAACATCTTGTCTAAAAATTATGCAGAAAATCTGGTTCATGCATTTGTCATTAAATCCTATAGTTAGGGTTGGCTTGTTATGCTGCTATAGGCTAAGACTACTAGAGGACAAATTTACATAATTTCTTAAAATGAATTGTTAAAACTGAACAGTTTTCATTTGATATTATTTCTATCTTAACATGTGATTATGGACCTGCCATTGTGTATCTGTTCCTCCTTCTTGTTCATCTCAAACCCAGCCGGTCGAAGCAGATGGCTGCTCGTCCTGAGCCTGGTTCTGCTAAAGGTTTCTTCCTCATGAGGGAGTTTTTCATTTCCACTGTCGCCTTCATGCTTGCTCAAGATGAGAGTTCTGCCATGGAGTTAAATTCAAAGCAGTCTGCTCCTCAGATAAATAGTGTTAACTTGTTTTTTATATATATGAATGTTTCTGTTCAGTGCCCTGAGATTACTTTTGTTGTGACTTGGTGCTATATAAATAAAATGAATTGAATATGTTCCACACATTGATCCAGTTTAGACCATATCAGTCCAGTAATGAACAATGTGGATAGTGGTAATATTGTTTGAAATAATGATCTAATATAGCAATTATTATTTTGGGGTTTGACATATAAAAATATATGACCCACCCATGTCATCAAGGGATCAAAGGTAGAAACATAGGCTGGATTCTCAGCATTCTTTAATTAAAGTTAGGAAACCAGAACAAACAGCATCCATCACTTTATCAAATTCTTTTGTGGTTACTGAGATACCAAAGGTTTGTAAAAACTCAGTAGTTAAGCAAATTCCCATTATCACAGCTGAGTTACTACAATTATGTTATCAAACCACATGTGAAAATTTTGATAGATTTTTGTGTTTGATGTGCTGATCGTTCCAAATGAAATGTTTACGTGAAGAAAAGTTGCGTTTATAAATTAACGACCACACAAACATTTGTTTATGAAAAATTGATAACCAAATGAGAAGTTTTTCTATTTTATAGTCACAGAGAAGAACGTATTCAAGACCTCCAACAGTAGAGAAGTTTTTGTGTATAAAGTTCCATGGAGATAATGGATGGATGGATAGTATCACTGAAGTCTTTCAGAGAAAATAGCTCACATTTCTTCAGTCAAATAAGGTTGAGTCAGGTCCTCTCTGAACAGATTAACCTTTGTTGAAATGTTTCATCATTTGTGGAAAAGACTTCTTCAGTCTGAGGAGCTGAAACAAACTCAGTCTCATAAGGAGCACCTTCTCATAGTGCATTAACCAGGTTGCTGGTGACAGACAAAGGCTCTAGGGTGCATCACTTCAACTGCACCTCCTCTATCCAGATGTGTACTCCCCACTGTCCTTTCAGTTTTTAATGATGCTACGGACAGTTCTTAGCCCAATTTTTGTAATTTCAACAATCTCCTTAGATGTTTTCTCTGCTTGATGCCTGTCAATAATGACACTTCTGAAACAGATTAACATATTTTCCATGACCACAAGATGTTTTTTTACATGGTTGTTTAACAAATGAGAAGCTACTCGCTGCATCAGGGTTAAAGGTTACTAATGATATTTTCAAACCTCAGACAGTGGACTTGTGTCGATACATACTCAGTGCTCAGCAGTACTCAGATCTCAGTGCTGCATTTGATTTGATTGATCACATACATGATATTGGAATTACAGGAACAACTATAAAATGGTTTAAATCACTTTGATCTGATTCCATTTAGTTAAATTTAAAATCAATCTTTATCTTAGACCAGAGTTATTCACAGTTTCTCAAAGTTCAATGCTTGGACCAAAACTACTTAATATGTGCTTCCTTGGATAAAGTTATAGACAGTACAGGATACATTTTCATTGTTATGCTGACAATACTTAATTATATTAATTTATCCAAAAAAACTGATTCTTCCAGTCAGTTACTTATATTACCGTACATCTTCTTTTAAAAGCAATATAACCTGGATAAATTCTATCTTTTTTCTGCTTTTAAACTCAGACAGGGGTTGTAATTTTTAGACCTGAGCATCTTAGGAATAAATTTTGCAGCTTTTCACTTCCTCTGGATGGCATTAATTTGTTCTCCATTTCTAAGATAAAGAGGTTATTTTTGATCTGCTGTACGGTGTCGAATGGCTTTTGACTGCTGTAATTTTAATTGCAAATATGCAAAATTTGTCTCTATTTTAAACTTTTCTCTTACATTTTCATTTCATTTTCAGCTCCTCATATTTATTGGTGTAACTGAAGAATCATGTATAATTTTATTTTAGACTTTTTCAAATCCTAATCCATCATCATTATTATTATTATATTGTTACAATATTATTTCACTTTCCTTGTTATTGCACCATCCTACTGTACTTTTCACACATAAAACTTTTCAATGATTACACTTTAACAAAATGTTCAAAGTTATTGTCAATTTAACCATTATCTTTCTAACATTAGTGAATGTTAGATGAACTGTACTATGAATAATGAATATTGAACAATGTTCAATATTCAATTGTTCAATGTAAAATAAATCCTATTTTCTACATAGTTCTCTGAGTAAAAATGCTTCGATAAACAAAAGTATTTTCTTTATCTTTTATTTAGTACTTAATTCTTCTTCGTTGGTTTTTAGTGATTGTTCTGTTTACATGAACATCTTATTTTGAAAGCAGTGACAGGAAGCTGTGCGCGTTAATTAAAGAGTTTTTCCGGTGTTCTGTCGAAAAAAGAACCCCAGTAGTAGGAAGTTCGCGGCGCTTAACTTGGCAGCCTAGCTTGTCACAGAACCACACAATTTATGTCATGAATATTTTTATATTGTTGTTTTCTCAAAAATACATAACTCTTTAAAGATTTCTTTTAATAATAAACAAACTACATTTGAATGCGCTTGTCAGACGGCGGGGAAACCTTTTTTGGTACAACACCTAAGCAGCTCGCGCCCTCCTCTGGTACAACCAGACTCTACCGGGTGACTCGTCACTCCGCGCTGGAAGATGGCTACGGTGGAGCGGATCCCGGTCAGGGAAGGGATCCGAATATTTGTCCTGTGTGTGTTTTGGTACACGGTTAGCTCAGGAGGCAACGTTGTCAACAAAATCATCCTCAATGGATTCCCGTACCCGGTTACAGTCTCGCTGTTCCACATCATGTCCGTCGTCATCTTCCTCCCGCCGCTGCTGCGGGCATGGGGAGTCCCCAAAACAGAACTGCCGAGCAGGTACTACCGGTGGTATATCCTGCCTTTAGCTTTTGGAAAATACTTCGCATCTGTATCAGCCCACTTCAGCATATGGAAAGTGCCCGTTTCGTACGCGCACACAGGTGAGTGCTTGTGTTTTGTGAAGATTTTGGGTGTAAGTGCGCGGCCACCTGGAGCCTGTGTCAGCCGGGTAAACTTGATGATGTGTCCGTACCGTTAGCATTGAAGCTAATGTTTCTAAGGCGGGATGACCTATAAAACAGGTAGCCATCGATAAAGACAAATGATCATATACTGAACCATTTTACTGTAAAATGCTTTGCGTTGGGAGAACAACAGGCAGCTGTTAGCTTGCTAGCCACTAAATTAAAGCCCTACAACGTCGTCAGAGGGGAAAGGTCCGTCACCGAATCCGGTCGGTAGAGTGATTTTAAGGCAGGCCGTTGTAATATATAATCAAGCCTAACGTCAAAAGTTGTAGTCTGAATTTTACATGTACTCAGAGGTATTTTAGGGGCGTTAATGAAGATGGAATTAATACCCCCCCCCCCCCCCAAAAAAAAAAGAACATTAATATATATATATATATTTTAAAATGTAGATATTTTTCTAATTCACACTAGGTTAAAATTTAAATTATACGTAAGGAATTAATATTTGGTGCAATATTCCACAGCAAGTTGAGCCTTAACATGCTGTTTGTAACTACCCACAAGCATCTGACTGGGTGTTTAGCCACTTATTTATCAGTTCATCTATACTAGTTGGTTGATTCCCTGGGGCAAATTTGGCTTTTAAACGTGAGTTCCAAATTTTTAATAGGGTTTCTTTTATGTTGGGGGTTTGGATAAGCCACCCAGAAGTTTAATCTTAGCTTGCTTTAAATATTCAGAGACTAGTTTTTGAGTTTGGGACCATTGTCCTGTTGGAACACGATCTGCTGATTTGAGGTGAAGTTGAAAAATTTAAATATAATCATCCTTCCTGTCTTGTCCACTTTTTGCAATGCATCAGCACCACTGGGAGCAAAATATCCCCACAGCACGATACAGCCACCACCATGCTCAGCAGTTAGTTTAGTGATTTTTAGGTTTGAATTGACATTCCTAAATGTACAAATTGTATTTCAATATCTATAACAGAGATTGCATTAGAAAACTTAGGTACCAGAATATCGTAAAATATTATCTTGCTTTGTTTGTGTCCATCTACAATCATGTGAGTGTCTCCTACAAGAAATAACTTTTTTCATGATATGTTTGTTTTAGATAAGAAGAATATCTGTTTGGGTATCTGGAACAGAATGCTCAATCTTCTTAAATTGAAAAAGCGATGCCATTTGTCCTTGGACGAAAGTCCTTTTGAGATAACTGAAATGTTTGCTGTTGATAAAGCAAATAACATTCTGGACTAACGAGAACTGAATTGTGGACACAGTATGTGCTTTAAAGAACCCTGATGTTTTGCATGATGTCATGATGCTTGTCAGACTTTAATCTCATGCTATCACTCTTGATGAAATTCAAATTGAATTTACTAAAATGAACTCCAAGAACGTTAAGTTTTCTGTGTGATACAAATTAGCCAAGGTTGAAAAACTACAATGTCACTAAAATCCAGCGTGGCTGAAATATCATGTAGCCATCAGCTCTAAGTGACCTTCATCACTTCACAGCATAGCTCAAATATTTGCTTGCAGCATATACTTGCTTTTAGCAACAGTGTGTTTATTTTAATTTTTAAAAAGGGAAATGCTAAACGCATTACAATCTTAAGATTTTGTTCTAGTGTCAGAAATGCTTCTGCCCCCAAAAGAGAGTTTGGTAAATGCTCAAATCCAAAATAACTCCTTGGGTTTCTGTCGTGTTTCCCTATTTAGAACTTAACTTCAGTCCAACTCATTTAACTACTTTTTCCACATTACTTTTAATAAACAGATGAACTCCATCAGTACCAGTTTAGTCTCTTATGGTCTATATATTTCAGCAACCTGAAGTTATTTTATCTTCAGTGGAGCCAACGTGTTTGTTTTTAAACCAAAGTGGCCTTAATATGGTAGTTTTCTAGATCTGGTAAAAGTTTTATTTGACACGTTTGAGTTCATGTCTATTTAGATCAAGGCACACAAAATGTTTTAAAGCTATTTTTTTTTTGGGCACAAACACAAATTAGGCATGTATTATTATTGTTATTGTTATTATTATTATTATCATTATCATTCATTCATTCAACCTTTATTTGGACAGGTAAATCTCAATGAGCCTTGAGGACTCATTTACAAGAGAGACCTGATTTCAACAAAGAATGATGACAACAGTGGACAACAGCGACAACAATAGACTGTTATAAAAGAGGCGTACAGATTTTTATTTTTACAAATTAAAATAAGATGGCCACAAAGGTAGCAAAAACACGTGTGTTTTTCAATGGAGAAATAGATTTTATATCTGTAAATCTTTGTTTTTCAACCTCACTCATTTATAAAAAATAAATTACACGCACATTAATTTGTGCAAAGTTTTCATCTTTCTGACAGTCACCCTGTTGGTTTAAAATGCTTGTAAAAACTTTGCATTTGCATAGTTTCTAACGTAATGTTTTATGAAACAAACTGCGTGTTAGGTTCTTTTTACACCGTGTGTTTTACGTCTGTTTTATGTGACCACGTTTGCAAGTGGACAGCTCTGATGGAGAGCGTTCACAACTGGCTGTTTAACCTTGAAGCATTTTTATGACATATGTCACTTACCTGTTCTGCAGGAAAACGCAGCCACGTCACACAGTGAGCATCAAACAGGTTTCTGTAATACTCAGCCATCTCAATTACAGGCGGTGGGCGGTGATTTCCATGCCTGCTCAAGTGCCTAACACTGCCTACATTGAGTGTGACTGATAGATGCATTGTTTTTTTTTTTAATCAGGGGTGGGTGAGGGGGTGGGGGTCAGCGCAGAACACCCACCAGGTCCAGCACCCCTCTGGCTGGGCCAACAGAACCAAGCATCAGTTCTGAGCTCAAAAGCTCAATGCTTTTAGTTGTACTGGTGGAGGGAAATGCTTTTTTTAAATGTTATAAAATAAATGTACTGTGAATTTTTTAAACTCTGAAATGTGAAGTTATTTTTTTCAACAAAATAACCTTTAAAGATTTAAAATGTTCAAAAAGTCATTTAAATCTGAGGTTTTTATTTTCAGGCTGAGATGGCTCTAAAGGAGTGACAAGTTTATTTAGGAAAAAAGTATATAAAGAGTAGTATTTTTAAGCAGTTACCCAGTAAATAAGGTATTGATTCTTCCCCCTTAAGAACAGTGGATGCTCTTAAAGTTACAGTTGTTCCAGTGCACACAGTATTATGCTTTCACTTCGATCAGAAGTCATGATCTTGTCTCTAGTTACAGCAAACAAAGTGATGTTTTTGAGCTGCATGCATTCAGTAGGGACGTTTCGCTACATGTACTGCTGCAAGATAAAAAAATAATAATAATAATTGTGGAATAATTCTATATTAGATAAACGTATGTTTTCTTGCTCTACAAAATTAACTGCTACTGATTATGACTTCTACTGGCTTCTTTAACTATTCCACGCTGAACATCTACGGGTATGTTAAATGTTTATGTTGGGAAATGACTCCAGCCTCCTACTCTGAGCCGTTAGCCTTCTACTCCAAAGGTTAGTGAAAAGGCTGAATAATGAGAAAACATTCAGACATTACTTTGACACGATCACTGTTTAGTGCCATTTGAGTCACGTTTTTTGTAGTTATGTTCATAAAGTACAATAAAAGAGGGATAAAGGCACGTACAATAATTAGTAGCTTGTAAAAATCCACCACGCCAGTGAGACTTTCAGCACAATTGTACTAAAAGCAGTTCCTTATGCAAAGCTTTTCAAATTCGAGCGTATTGGGGACATCTGCTGATCAGTCAGGGAAGGCACTGGTGCAAAACATGTTGGCTGAATATCCATCTCTTCAGTTCAGTAGATGGTCGAACAGCTTGGCTCAGGGTGGACTGCTGTTCAGACTGCCAGATGTGCAGTACATAGATCCAAGGGTCCAGACTGAAGGTGGTCTGAATGAAGACTTTATTGATGGGCAGTGAGTCTTTCACACTTGTGTATAGTGCTGTCCAGCTGCAATTATATCACTCAGGACTGCGTCTAGCGAGAGGTCTGAACAGGGCCTTAATGACAGACCACCAGTTTCAAAATAAACTTTAAAGGGGTTGGGTACAAAGATTAGACAAATCTGCAAATACAGTGTCCAGAGAACATCTTTAAAAAGACCTTCAGAAAGCCTGGAGCACAGTTGCTTTAGACCACTTACGCAATATCAAAAAAAAGTTTGGTGTTTTTGGAAGCAAAATGTCATTACTCAAGACTTTTGCACACTTTAGTGTAGTTACTCTGAACTGGTGAATATTCAATTAAATAATATATTAAAGTCTTGGTTTGTTCTAACGTTTGTTTGATTGACCTCTCCAGAGGTATTTTATTTCACAAACTTGCCAACCATTTCAACCTTTTTAAATGTGTATATCCTTTATTTCAGTGATTGGCTTCTCTTTTATGATTATTCTATATTTTCTGTTTAAACAGAGATGAATTGATTTCAAATCTGGCAATGGGCCTTGTTTTTTTATGTGTGCAACCACTGTTTAACTATGAAGCATTGTTGATGGCGCATAAAAACTAAACGTCTACTTACATCAGCCGGCGCTAAAGCAACGCAGCCCAGTTGGGACGTATAAATCCCTGAGCGACACGTGTTTGACAGGTCTGGGTCCTGTTCTGACGTAGAGGCGTTTTCGTAGCTCAGACTTCACCTTTTATTTTCTCTGTTGCTGTTTCTGCGCTTTTAAAACTGACGTTCCCTTGTTCCTGTCCCTTTCACAGTCAAAGCCACGATGCCAATATGGGTGGTGCTGTTATCGAGAATCATCATGAAGGAGAAGCAAACTACGAAGGTAAGTTGGTTCAACACGTAAAGCACAGTCTGCTCTGTTTCAGTCTGTCGGAGACACGGCAGCAGTGACGCCTGAACCGCGTCTCATTTTGGCCGTTGTTGACGATGAACTGTTTTGTAGGAAGGTGGGGGTCAGGGATGGAAATGAACTTTACTTTCACATCAGTCACCTGTGGTATGCATGTTTACTTTCATATAAATATACAAGCAAAAAGAAACATAAAAGGAATATTTTGCACTTGATCAGCCAGTAGTAGTTCTCAAACCACGTTCTTTATTTTTTCAAGGTTCTTTGTCTTTTGCATCACATGGTACATGTGGTGGAACGAAACTGTGTACACAAGGTCCCAGATACACCCCCCCCCCAAAATTGCAAAAATATAAAGCATAAAAAGAAATTGTATATAGGGATCTAAGATAAGCACTAATATATCTGCTAAACAAATGCTAAACGATACGCTAAAAGATCTAAGATATATGCTAAACACTAATAATGTAAAATAATATGGTATATTAAACAGCAGCCCAACATGAGTCTGTTGTGAGCAGATGGGTATGAATACAGCAGCATAAAGGCAAAAGATCAGCAGCATGGATAATCAGCAGCTAAAACAGATAAAAGTGTCAAATCTCCATTTAAAGTGGCATTACAATGATTTTTCTGTTTAGGGATTTATGAGTCTTAACAGCCTCAGGGTAGAAGCTGTTCCTCAGTCTAGTGGTTCTGCACTTAATGCTCCTCATCCTCCTTCCTGAGGGGAGTGGAGCAAAAGGTGTGTGTGCTGGGTGAGTGGGGTCCTTCATGATGCAAGTGGCTCTCTTCCTGCATCTAGAGGTGTGGATGTCTGTGATGGTGGGGAGGCTGACTCCAACAGTCTTCTGTGCAGCTTTCACTACTCTCTGCAGAGCTTTTCTTTCTGCAGCTGTGCAGCCTCCATGCCACACGTTGATGCTGGAGCACAGGATGCTCTCCACTGCACACCTGTAGAAGGAGGTGAGGACTGAGCTTCCCAGACCAGCTCGTCTCAGCCGCCTGAAGAAGTAGTCTCTGATGAGCTTTCTTGATCAGGCTGGTTTTAATGGACTGTTGGCATGAAATCAAATCCTTTTTTCAGTTTTAAATAGAAGGTTTTAACAGTTGATGGTTTACTGTAGTTTTATTTACATTTCACGCCTTTTTTTTCCCTGAACAAACATTGATCTATCCTGTTCCCTGCTCTACAAATATAATTCAGCTTCTGGATGCAGCTCAAGTTTCTTTTCTTTCATTCAAACAAGTTAATATAAAGCAAACATTTTACCAAATATATTCTTATATACTGACGGCTAGAAATCACAAGCTTTCCTTAAGGAGCTATATAGTTTGAGTTGCAAATTTTTTACAATGTTTTATTATATTTTATGTTTTTTGCAACTCTGGAATTTTGATTATAAAGCATAAAATAAATCTGACTTCTATTATCTGTGTTTTCCAATTCCTCAAGTATAAGTATTTTTATATACAATAAAAGTTCACATTTCTTGTCGCCTCTGAAACGTAGCTGAATTTTCTGTTATTTTTCTCCGAAGCAAAGGAGCATTTTTCAGTGGGTGTTTGCCAAACGTAACGAGGACACTTGTGAGTCTGACGTGTACGTGTAATGTTTACTTTGCAGTTCAGTGTTCAGACAGGATTGGTCTACAAGCAGGGAGAGTGTTGTTCTGGGTGAGAATATCCTGTTTGTGTAGGGGACTGCATGAAACCCTTTACTGATCCAAGTAACTTAATAAGCACAAATATAACCCTGATCAGGTTTTATTGACTCACCTGTACTTTTTTCCCCTTGACTTCATATATAGGAAATGTGTTGACCCTGTTAGTGTAACCCATTTGACTCAGCAGCACAGATAAATATAACATCACGCCCTAAACATCATTTATAAAAAGTCCAGTTTTTCCTTCCGAGGTGCTAAAAGTCACTCAGGGTAAATTTTTAACTATTAAAAGGAAACTTGTTTTTCATGTTCAGAGCTGTGAGGCATTGTGCAGGCATGTTGCAAAACAACCAGAAGAATTTAAGATTTTATTTTTATTATTATATTTTTGTGCAGACAATCTCTAGCACTGGTAACTTTCTAACCCCATTTCCTCCTGTCTGTCACAACACTCCATTAGATTGTTTAATACTTAATCTGATAATTAAGAGTGAGTAAAATGTCCTGTGATGCTCTGTTTCAACCAGTGTAGGTGGGTAAACATTTATGTACAATATGTTTAATGTGTTTTTTTGTTTGTTTTGTTTTTGTAATACAGGAAACAAGATGCAGATAATTTAAACTAGGGATGCACGATATTGGATTTTTGGCCGATATGCTGATATGTTAAAACTTATTTGGCTTTTAACCAATACCGATATTTTCCCCTTACACAATGACAACACTCGAACTACGCAAATTTGTAAATTTTCACAAATCTAAACTCAACGGTGTGCGTGACATCATAATGTTGTACTGGCGCTGCAGGCATCCTTGTCACTGGGTTGTCATACAAAAACAGCACCTTTTTATATCTGTGAGTTATTTTGATGGAATGGCCGATGTCCAATATTTAGATTTATTGCTAATATCGGACATCGATAATTCCATACCGATAATATCCTGCTTCCCTAATTTAAATATATATTTTTAGATGAATACTGCTTGAGTTTATGACGCTGGATGTCTGGAAGAAAGCTGACATTTAGTGATAAGGATATGTGTCCTGTTCTGAATAAAGTTGTGGTTTTAAACAGAAATAATGTAAATGTTTTACTAAAACTTTTTTTCTTCATTTCACCAATAATTGTGACAGAAGTGGTGACCTAAATAATGATGTGCAAATATGAGACATGCTTTAAAATTTTATAGAAAATGGTCGAATACTTTTACTTAATTCTGCAAGTATTTGGAAGTGTAGTAGAACATTTCTGTCATATATTCATACTGTTAAAACGGATTCTTTCATTTTTCTGGACTGTATAATGACGTGCACCTGAATTTCATAAAATGTGGACGGAAACGTTAATTATCTTTGACTCACCAAGACAGTGGGCCATTTATTAACATAATCAAGTTTAACACATCACACATTTACATTAATTGGCAAGAATTGAAAATAACGACAGCTTATTAATCAGTTTAGCAAGGAGTAAACAACACGGCGATTGTTTTCTCATTTCCAGCGAAACGACAAACGTCAACCACACGGCGGTGATTGTAAAACTTTGCTTCAGACATTTCTAAAAATATCTGTAATGATTTTTAGCAGATAGAAGAATTTTAAAGATGGAAAGATGAAGTTTATCTTGAGAGAGATATGTGAGGGAATTTGTCTGTTTTAACCAGAACATGCACGCTCCTTTGGAAATCAGCTTGCCCAACGGTACACTTTTGGTGAAGATCGACTTTTACCTTTCTGAAGATATCTCAGTTCCGGCGTAAAGTTCCACTTCGAGCCACTTTTCAGCGTCTCTGTAAGAACAGCTAACCCTCTGGAGTCGTGAGGTCATCCAAAACAGAAGTTCATAATTCCCAAATCTTTTCTCTTCAGTTTGATTCTCTTTTCAACAGCATCCTGAATTCCAGCCTTCATGAACTCTGGAACTGCTGAGTTTCAGAACTGCAGAACTTCCTGCAACAACTGGAAACCTGCTTGAACTAGGAAGTGCCAACATTTAAAGAAAGCTCACTTCCGGTTCATTTGAGAGTTTCTGATTGGTCGATGGACCAAAACAGAGGTGTGTTTTGTGATGTAAGGTGTTATGAAAAGTCAAGGAAAAGATTAAGATTGTTTAAGGACAGACAAAAAATATCATGAGAAACTTCAGACTTCGTGGAGTCAATTCTCCAGTATCTTGCTGTAAAAGTTAAACATGACATTTCTTTTCAGTAAACTTGCAGTTGACCGAAACTTGAACTTTGACCAACTTCCATCACTTGTTCACTTCAAACAGACGATCAAGAAATTGAATCATTACTCTGTAACGTATTCCAACTTGATTTCACTTTGAATGAGGATTAAGAATCATTATTACTGTTTCACAGTTAATAAAAATGAGTAGTTCACTTCAACATTCAAACATTGTTTGAACTAACACAATTTGATTATCAAACATTTGTAAAATAGTAATGATAATAGAGAATAGTCTTCTTTCACTTGATTAACTTAAGAAAGAAAGTCTCAGGATGGGTCAACCTGTATTTCTGGATGCAAATCAATGAAATGACAAGTTCTGTCCCACATGGTCCTTAGGTCAAGGTTTTGACCTTCAGGCCTAGTTCACTACAGAAGTTATACAGGTTTGGCAGATATTTTGTTGACAGGCAATAATTTCTACTTCATTTAGGCTTGCATTTTATGCTGCTACTTTTTAAATTAATTAATTTTTTTAAAGAAAAGTTCATTTGCATTTATTGTTAGATTTGTAACGCCCCAGTTCTGAAGAATGGATTAATTGCTCTTATACAATTTTTAAAATGCTTTTAAGGCTCTGTGGAAATTATTGACATTAGGATTTAGTTTCACAACTCGGTCCCAGCTCCTTAACTTTTCATGTTTTGTTTATGAAATTTAATACATGTTCAAATATAAGGCACAGATAAACTTTTTTTCTAAAAGGAAGCAGCAACTTTTGAATGATATAAATTAAAAATTCTGCATTAAAATGAATAACTGGCTGACATTTTTATTGTTTTTTTTTTAATAGGTTACAGGAACATTTTTTTAAATCTAGTGCTAGTTGAGTAGTTAGTATATTAGAGCAGATCTGTGCTTTAATATAAACAAATTATGCACACTTGGATTCCAACAGGAATGAAAACCAGATTATGTAGTGGACATAAAAACGTTTGCTTTGGTTTCTCCTGACTCTCCTCTGTGTGCGTCTTGCTGCAGGTGTACGTATCGCTCATCCCCATCATTGGCGGAGTGCTGCTGGCCACCGTCACTGAGCTATCCTTTGACGTTTCTGGGTTAATCAGCGCTCTCGCGGCCACGCTCTGCTTCTCCCTGCAGAACATATTTTCCAAAAAGGTGAATTATCTGCATGCTGTTGGTTGTGTCATTCTGTCTTCCTTACGGCTCTAATTGAATTGTTTGCAAAAAGTTTTAACACAGGCGTCATGGAAATTGTGAAGCAGCGGCTGCTTTATGTTTTCTTGTTTCAAGGTGTTGCGGGACACAAGAGTGCACCACCTGAGGCTTCTCAACATCCTCGGCTTTAATGCTGTGATCTTCATGCTGCCCACCTGGGTTCTGGTGGACCTCTCTGTGTTTCTTGTGAACGGAGATCTGGTGTGTAACAATATTTGATCTTTAGACGAGTGTCACCGCTGCTGCTGGAACACCGAGAGTTCAGCTAACGTGGTTCGTAATCGTGATTTGTATCCAACGCCTCTCTTTTCAGTCGGACGTTTCTGAATGGTCGAGTACCTTCGTCCTCCTCCTCATCAGCGGCTTCTGCAATTTTGCACAGAACGTTATCGCCTTCAGTATTCTTAACCTCGTCAGCCCGCTCAGCTACGCAGTCGCCAACGCCACCAAGAGGATCATGGTCATTAGCATTTCTTTGTTGATGCTGCGCAACCCGGTCACCATGACAAACATCCTGGGCATGATGACCGCCATCGTCGGGGTCTTCCTTTACAACAAGGTGAGTCACCTCGACCGCAGGAACTGGAAAAACTCTCTGTAACGTCACAACTTTTAAACAACTATTGTCAAACACATGTTTCAATGCAAATATAAAAATATGATTTATTCATTTTATTACCTTTCAGCCGTTTAAATATTTTTTAGTAAGTTCTCAGAAAAGCTCCAGGTTTATGTTTATGTCCTCAGACAACAGCACAAGTATCAACTTGGATAAAGGAGGCGAATTAGGATAATGCTGTTTTAAATACTGTTTGTTTTTCTCCTTTACATTACTTCTGTGTTTGTACATTCACTTAATTCAAACCCCTCACTGCTTTTAAGATTAGAAATTCTGTCAATAATCTTTGGATTCATGCAAGCTGTTGAGCATAAAATTGCAAAAACGATATATTTGCTCCTTATTTTATTGCAATATATACTTAAAAAAAAAATTTTTTTTACTTCAGGTAATTTTGAAACTCAACAAAAAAAGTTACAGAAGACATCTTGTGTAGTTCTGCTCTTCATAAATTGTAGTGTCTAGTCCATTGAGGTCAGTTAACCTGACCACAAACTTAATTATAAACTAATTTATTGTATATTATTTAGTTGCTCAATAAACAATTTCTTTTTTTTTTATTGCCCACTGCTAATGTATTTTTTTTTTTATTCCTACAAATGAATCCCTGGAGTTAGTGTAGCTAGAAATATTAACTATTGGAGGCAGTTTGGTTCAAAATGGCTACCACAGCTAATCAACCTTATCAAATACAGCTCCAACGCTGTCAATTTTACAGACATTGAGTCTAAAACCAGTTTAATTTGAGTTGGTTTGCTTATCTTCTCTGCCTTTAGGCCAAATACGACGCCAACCAGGAGAAGAAGCTGCTGCCGAGCAGCCAGCAGGACCTGATGTCCTTTGACAAACCTCCGCTGGAGAAGATCCAGTCCAACGGGTCAGTGCCTTTCTCCCACGGCTCAGACCAGCAGCACAGCTGGAACAACGTGCTGACCGACCACTTCCAATACAGCCGGCAGGCCTACACGACAAACCACACCAGCAACCACCAGTATGTGGTTTAACGGAGGGCTCGGACCCCTAACTGGGTTGCTGTCATGGAGATTCTTGAGTTGTCCAATGAGCAACAGGTCCTCACGTGCGCGCTACACTTGAGACTGAAGGCATCATAAATATAAAAAAGATGAGATAAGCAGGCTGTGAGATCCTCCTCGTTTTCTAAACCTCGTGTTTTTGCAGCTCTGCTGTTTCATGTTTTATTTTAGTTTCAGTGACTCAAAGGAGCCACTTTCAGTTCATTTAAACGTTCTTACGCAGACACGGATCATTTTTTCAATTATTTTTGGTTTAGGATAGTTTAATTTTTTTCAAAATCAGTCTTTAATTGTCTTTACCAATTTGAAAATATCAAGTTTGTTACATTTGTAACAAGCTAAGACTATGATCTTTGGCATTTTATGTTTGGGATGACCATTTTTCTTCATGCGGGACTGGTTTTGTTGTGAAAAGATAACGGTTTAACGGTTCAGTAAATAAATCTTTAGGCTTGAGGTAGATTCAGGGGTGTCATTTATTAAAAAAAACAAACGGTAAGCGCTGTGATTTACAGTGATGTTTTAAGCCTAAAAGCAGATTCAAGCAGTTTAGTGTTCATGCAGGTGTTTTGCTGTTTATGATGCATATGAGCTCTTTGGACAGCTAATTTTTGCAGGATGAACAAAAAACTGGATATGATGCTCCACAATAAATGCGCCAAACAAACAAAAAAAGTAGCTCTGACTATATTAACCCTTAGCCACCGCTTTGTTTTCGTAAAACTTTTCGTTCCCTGCAGCAGCGACGCACGTTCAGTGTTTTAGTTGCCCTGCTTTGACCTTGTCTTCCAAAGATGCTGCTTTTCTCTCGGTTGGGTGTTCCTGCCAAAAAGCACCTTTTCCAAACCAGGTGCTGTTAATTTGCAGTTTAACAATCATAAATTGCAATTTCCTGATGAGATTTTATCAATCTGTGTAATCTGTGCTCGTCTTCTAAAAATTGCACATGTTTTGTGTTTTTTGGGCTGAGTGCTGTTTCATGAAGTCGTAGCCGCTTCGTTTTAGTCACGTTGCTGTCATGAGTTTGTAAATCAAAACTCTCAGAAACTTTTATGGTTTTCATCTTCAGTTGTAATTTAATGGTGAATAAGAGAGAACCTCGACGTGTTAGTGCCTTGGTGAGCGTTCTGCTGCTTTTACACCCTTTTGGATTTAGAGATGGAAGATGTAGATTAAACTGAGATTAAACGGTCTACACTCTGTCATCAGGTGGGTCACGCACAAAAGTGCCCGATGAAGAAAAATGTCCGAAAGCAAACAAATCTTGTCACTCTCTTCGAAGTCGGTGATTTTGCACACCCAGATCAGTGACATAAATTTTTTTAATGTGTTTATTTTTCCTCATAGATGGATTTTTGGAAACACAAAGTGTTTACAGCTTTAGATCAAAAGTGAGACTGTTGTTCAGAAAGGTCAGCGACATCTTGAAGAATTTTTTTCCCCTCTCAAACAAACCTGAGGTGTTATTACGTTTTATTAAATGTATTCATGTAAAATTAGAGCTAGATTTTCCAGAATGTCCCTGTAGTGTTCGCCTCAACAGCGTCGATCTGCGTGGATTTCGTTGTTAGACGGGCATTTAAGTAAAGTTAGAACGTTTCATTTTCATGTTTAGGCTAAAAGCAATTATTTAAAATTATGCAGTTTTATTTTTTTCCATTGATTTTTATTTGTATTTATAGATTGTAAAGTGATATTTTTAAACATTTTCTTTAAAGCCTGATCTAAAGCTGCTTGGATTTGTGTTTTTATTTTTCTTCTTCTTTTGAATCTAAGACACATGTCAAGTTTGCACATCTTTAAACAACGAAATGTTTCGCGCATTGTGAGCGTCTGTGTAGACAGCGTTGGTGTCAGCGGACAGACTTGATTTCAAACGAGCCATGCATGAAATCAGAGCATTGATCTGTGCAATTAAAGATGATACTGTAATATCTTCACCGTCCTTATTGATTGTAGCGTTTATACAGTTGATAATTATTTTATTTAAAGTAATTTTCACTATGTGAGGTACTAAAAACTCACAAGGTTAGTCATGTTTCTTGTCGAGCTTCCTCTGATCCACACTCCTTTTTTTATCTTTATTTTTTAACAGCAGCTTTAGTAGTAGGGATGCACAATATTTTCGGCATGGTATCTGTATCGGCCGATATTTCTGATAAAGTTCAATATCGGATATCGACTATTCCATCTAAACAAAACGTGCTGTGTATATATATATATATATATATATATATATATATATATATATATATATAAAAAATGGGGTTGGACAATAACTCTATACCGATATATATCACGATATACTTTTATTCAATAACGGTGATATGAGTTTCAAGCACATTTTTGATATTTTGATAGGATTACAGTGTTTCACTGACACATTTTTTATTTCTATTTGGTTTGAAGCAGCCACTTCAGTTTCAACCTGGACAGAAAAAGGTGCGACACAACTATGTAAGTGCGTGGTGACGTAGATGTTACGCAGAGCTCAAGTTCAGAAGGCGTTAGCGGTAGCAGGCTAATTTCCAACGCGTGTTAAGTTTTCGCTTCAAAATTAATACCCATGACCGTCAGAATGTGACTGAACAAGCTTTCACAAGTGAAGAGAAAGCAGATGACATAATTGATAAGAGAGGAAAGACTAATTCGTTGGTGTGGAAGTGGTTCGGCTATCTAAGGTCTGATAAACTGCAGATTTCAGTCAGTGTGCTGCAAAATGTGACGGAGAGTCGTTCCAACTAGCGGTGGGAACACATCTTAACTTGTTCCATCTGAAGAGTTTCCACTCAATGGAATATGCAGATTGTCACAAGATGAAGCACAATAAAGTTTGAGCCAACGTGTCCCTGAAACAACTCCCCCAGCTGTATCAAAAGAGAAACTCATGCGGCAAACACAGAAGTTTGCTGCATGAGTTGTTAGCTTATGTTCTTGTTTAAAGTTAAAACCATTATTATTGACAAAGTTGAGAGTTTTATGTTTGACGGTGATTTCAATTTTTTTTAAGCTAAATACAAATAAAAGTTGAACATTAATTCATTTGTACAGTTTGTACAGTTTCTGAGGCTTTTATATTGTTTATATCGATATTGAATTATATCGTTATCGACCGAAGTTAAGAAATATATCGTGATAAAAGTTTTGGTTGTATCGTCCTGCCCTAACATACAGTGTGTGTACATATAAATATATATATATATATATATATATATATATATATATATATATATTTATGTTTTTGTATGACTGTTCGAGTGTTGTCATTGTGTTAGAGAGAGTAAATGTCATGAATAAATTTGACATTAAACATAATCCAAGTTTAAGTGTTACATCATTTTCAGACCCTTTTTTGGCATCTGCATTTGGTAGCAGGCAAAATTGACAAAGACCATGCAGAATAATGTAGTATTTTAACTCCACAGCAGAGAAAGCTATGTAGTTTCTGTAAGTAGGTCTAGGTCTAGGGAAAAAATATTGGTATTCGTATCAGTTATCGGCCAAATAAGTTTTAACATATTGGCATATCGGATATCGGCCCAAAATCCAATATCGTGCATCCCTATTATTTAGCACACATTGTAGCCTTTTTTATTGTTTGAACCTTTTTGCAGATGTAAGCACGGCTATAGTGCTGTTAAATGATAACTTTCAACAGGTTTTGATGTTTCAAACTTCATTAAGTTCAAAAGAATCGATCTGAAACATGACAGGCGTCATTAATTGTTTATTCCTACATGATTTTATGTGAAAACGCCCACATACCGACAAAGTAGTTATTAGAAAAGATCTGAATTTGCTTGTTTTACCAGTCGTGTCGAACCACCTGTGGGAAGCTATATATGTCAACAACAGTTGAATAACAATTTAAAAACTCGTTTTGTAAATATTTTATGAGGGATTTGCGGTCTGAGGTTGTAATTTTGTTTCAGGCTGTATGAAATTCTATTCTGTTCAAAATCACAAACAAAAAGTTTTGCTGCACAAATATGAGCATAAAAAAAACAAGACAAGAATTTAAGTCTCTGTGTTTAAAAGATTTTGTCTTGTTAGAATTTATTCATTGGATTTTGTTGCTGAACCCTCAGAGCTTTAAATTACTGTAAAACATGACGATGTATACTTTTCCAGATTCATTAATCTGTCCCTCCAGATCTGAGTTCATCAGGGTTTGAAATAAATCTGTTAGAAAGAAAACACTGCAGGGTTTTTTAATTATTATTTTGACATGATCATAAAAAGACAGACGTATTAAAAACAACTTTGAATTCAACATTGCAGTTCATTTGCAGGGATTGGTAATACCGGTAGTTTTGTAAAGTCCAGGGATGGTTTCACCATTTTAAAAGACAACCTTTTTTTATATATAGTTTTTAAAGAAAACTCTTCAAAAGTAAAATATGTCAACAGCCTTTTCAGAGAATTAAATATGACACGGCAGCTTCATGTACTAATGAACATTTAAGAGGATTGTTAAAAACACTGGAAGATAAAACGAATGACTGATGTGATTACCGTAATTTCTGGACTATAAGCCACTACTTTTTTTCACACACTGCGGTTTATACAATGCTACGGCTAATTTATGGATTTATTTTTTTATTTTTTTAGATGGACTAATGAGCTTCATGCCACCAAAACGTTTAGCCTTGTCACACTCGGGTTTAAAGGTATAAAATAAAATAAAAAAAAATCTGACCAATGCAACTTTGGCTCCGCTGCCAGTGGATCCTGCCAGTGAAGCAGGAGGATTATGAAGGTGGCGATCAATGACTTCCTGGTAGGCTGCTGTAGTTTTTTTCAACGAGCCGTGTTACCGGCACTGTTAAGAAAAAACATTTACGTACGCATTTGTGTGTTACTGGTACGTAATTAAATGTTGAAACAATCTTTCTATGTAAATATCTCATGTTACAACGTGGACACCCGTGGCTTATAGACAAGTGCGGCCTATACATGTACAAATTTTCTTAATTTGTTTTAAATTTAGTGGGCGTGGCTTATATTCGGGTGCGCTCAATAGTCTGGAAATTACGGTAAATGTTAAACTTGAAACTGTTCAGAGATTAAACCTGCTGTCATAATTTTGTGTGTAGCAGTGTGAAGTTCAACCTGTCCCATCATTTGAAACAAATGAAAACGTCCCCATGAAGTTTAGTCTCACTGTTCTGCTCATGTTCTTCATGTAGTTTCATCCTTCATGTTTCAGCCCTGCACCACAGGGTGGAGGTCTTGTTTTCAGGTTGCTGAGATGTCGTTTTTATGCGGGCTGTATTTTATTTTTCAGTGTCGGCTTTTGTCTCTGTACAGTGGAAACAAATTAAACGGTTAACTCTTTGTTGTAAAGCTTTTCACAGGATAATGACACGTGTAAAGAGGGGATAATTATTTGTAAAATAATTATTTTTGTGTCTTCAATGGTTCTTGAAACACATTTTTTTACTTCAACAATGTTTATAGATTTTTATTTATGGTGTCCAGGTAAAAAATATTGTGTACAGGTGCAGCTGTGCACTCAGTCTTGTCTGCTTGGGTTTAGTAGATATTTTTTTAAATGTCGGGGGGGAAATAAATGCATTATGGGATACTGAACATGTTGACTTTTCTCTTAATTGTTGGGTTTTGTAAAAAACCTCGCCTTATTGTGACCATTACGGCAATAACCATGACGGCTTGTAACATGGGTAACGTTACGTCGGAAAAATATCTCTGACTGCGGACGATGTAGCGAGGCTCATCGTAGTCTGTAAATCTTCAGAATCCGACATCCTCACCAACAAAAAATAAAACTTCCACACCGCCGACATCATTTTGAATTTTACTCTCCGCCATGAGGCGCCCGTGACGTCATCACGTTGTGCTGCTGCTGCAGGCAAAACCAGCTCCTTTTATATCGGCGAGTTATTTTAATGGAATGGCCGATGTCCAATATTAAATTTTAACGCTAATATCGGCCGATACCATGCCGATAATATCGTGCATCCCTAGTAAATATATTACAATACTTATTCAAATTAACTAAAAATGCACTTTAAAAGTTTTAAAGGCAGAAATTATTTAAATCGACTAAACAAAATTAGTTTCTTCTGTAGTTTATATCCAGTGCCTGATTTTAAAGCAGTTATTTAAAATAAAACGAGCTGTTCACTGAGATTAAACCAAACACTATAAATGGTAAATGGACTGTACTTAGTGCCTTTCTATCTAATCAAGATACTCAAAGCGCTTGAAAAATCCTTAAATATTTATAAATCCAGTCTTTTAATGAGTATATGTAACAGTTTATATAACCTCTATATATAGTCTTTGAATTGTGTATTTATAAAGACTTTAAACAGCATTTAAACTCCAACATAGTTACGTCAGGTCCTCTGGATGGAAGCGTTTCGTCTTTCATCCAAAGGACTTCATCAGTCTCGGGAGCCACAACAAACTCAGTCCCACAAGCAGCACTCACATAGTGGTCCAACCAGTTTGATGGTGATAAGCTGGTTTCTGGGGCCCGCACTCTCCTGACTCGTCTGATGCAGCCACAGCCAAAGTGGTTCAAAACATCAAAGTTCATGCACTATAATCCAGGTAATTATCAAGCAAAATTAGTAGAAACCAGCTTATCACCATCAAACTGGTTGATCCACTATGTGAATGTGCTACTTATGGGACTGTGACTCCTCAGACTGATGAAGTCATTTGGATGAAAGACGAAACGTTTCAACACAAAGAAACCGTGCAGAGGACCTGACTTAACTTTGTTGGATTTATTACCTGGATTATTGAACATGAAATTTGAAGCATTTAAACTGCATATTTACAGACCTTAAACCATTTTTGAAATGTGTACAAGAACAGACTTTAAAACATTTAAAATAAATATACAGATGGTTAGCAGGTGTGTGTGAACATAACCGACATTTTTCTTTGGGACAAAAAGACAAAATCAAAACACTTAAAATATGCAACAGTTTGCTTTGCCAGAGCAATTTTTATGACTTTTCCTATTGATTTTATTAGAAGTTTTCTTTATTTGTTTATTTTTGGTTACATTTCTTTAAAATTTTTAAATAAAAGAGCAGCCGCCGGCAAAATTTCTGTTGCGGCTTTTGGAAACCAAGTGGACAGAGTCCTTCAGAGACGACATCCATCTCAGTTTTTCCTGACTCATCCTGAACTGTTGACATGTTTTAGTGTTTCTGCAGATGTGAATGTTTATGAATCTGCTGCATAAATTTCCACACAAATTCTTGTTCAAACATTTAAACTTGTATGTGCTGTTAGGTTTAAAGAGCAAGCAAAAAGGACAAGGTCCAGTCCTCAAGCTGGAATTATTGAGTTTAATTCATGTTATTAAAAAGAATAAATGGTTTATATATGTTTGTTTCTCAGACAGAAACGACAGGAGGCTCTCTTTAAACATGAATTTTAATACAGACAGCATCAGCAGCACATTTTTATCAGTGCATAGTAAAATTCTTCGTTCTATAAAGAGTTTTTCAGTGCCAAAAAAAAAAAGTTTTCATCTTACAAGCTCAATATAATGTGTTGATTTTTAAGGTACAAAGACAAGTATTCCTTAAGATTAAAAAAATAGAATTTAATAAAAGCAAAATAACTTTGCCACAAAAAAACTTTTTTTTTAATCTCGTGTCCAGGTTCTTTAGAGGCTAAAACAGCAAATGTTTTTGAATGAAGTTTCAGAAGTTCTGCAGGGTTTAAAATGCTTTAAAATAGTGACTTTAGGCCTAAATGAGTGCTTTAGGAATGAAACTTCTAATGTCCACTTTTAGTTTGGATGGAAAAGCAGAACAAAGTGCACATAGGAGCTGCAGCTGAGCTGGTTGGTCTAAGGTGAGTTCTTTTCAGACTCACCTTAGTGAGAATTTTACAAAAACCAGTGGCACAAATGACTAAACAACACAAAGAGTGTGTAAACCTCGGGCATTGTGAAATTCCAGCAACATCACAATTAAATAATCTCATTGCTGCACGTGCAACAATCAGACGTCCCCTCTACATTCATTCAATAAATAATAAGATCTCTGAGAGTTCTGTTCAGCTGAGTCTCCATTTTCTGCCCCCAGCCAAAGTGAGTCTGCTTCCCTGCAGCTGTTTGCAGGTTTTAAGTCTGACGACAGCTCTCTGTGTCGTATGGAGTGAATTTGACCGAAGCGGGCAGCTGGGTGATGATGTTTGTGTTGCACATCAGCTGGGTGAAAACATGACTGTCCCTCATCGTATCAGGAAACAACAGATCGCTGTGTGGTGAAGGCGGGGAAATGCTGCGGCTGCCGCTGCGTTTCCTTGACAAACCGAGCAGGCGTTTGAACAGGGACCTTCTGAGGAGGATGTAGATCCACGGGTCCAGGATAGGATTCATCGACGCAATCCGGATGGCGGTCAGGTCTGCCTTGGGGTCATACTGAAAGTGGTTGGCAAAAATACGCACCTGAAACAGATAACGCGTATAAACACAACTCAGGAAGGTTTCACAGCAGCAGGAACATGTTCTCATTTACACGTTTTAAAGATTTACAACTAAATGGTCGGATCAACAAGTTAATACTGTCAGCGTCATAAAGATGTTTTGCTGTTACCAATTGCTGTTCAGTAATAATCAGATTTTTATTTAAATGAAAAATGTACAAGCCCAATTCTGAAAAAGTGTGTAAAATGTAAATGAAAACAAAATGCAAGCAGTTCAGATCTCACACAAACTCATATTTTATTCACAGAGGAACATATCAGATGCTGAAAATAAGAAATAGTTCAATTTCTTTAAAAAAACAAAAAAAGAGGCAATTTTTAATTTTATGGCAACAACACGTCTCCAAAAAGTTGAAATGGGAACCATAAAAGGCTGTAAGTTGTACAAATAAGAAACAGCAGGAGGAGTGTTTTATAACTGAATGGCTTAGTTGGCATCAGGTCAGTAAGAGGACTGGGTACAAAAAAAGAATGATTTCAAGAGGCTGGTAAAGATGGGTAAATGTTCACAAGTCTGTGAAATACTGTGAAATCAGTGGAACAATTTCAGAAAAATGTTAATCAATGGAAAATTGGGAAGATTTTTTTCTGCACTGAAAAATATGTAAACATGTCAATAATCTGTATAAATCTCTAGATATATTTAGGCCCTCAGGGGCCACTGCATTAAAACAGGTCTGATTATGTTCTGAACATCTCTGCATGAGCTCAGGGACTCTTCCACAAATCACTTGTCTGTAAACACAGTCTGCAGCGGCATCCACAAACGCTGCTTAGAGCTTTATCTATCATGCAGGTTAAAAACCATATGTGAACACCGTCCAGCTGTCTGCACCAAAGTTTGTTTACTGTGTACTGAGGCAAAGTGGAAAACTGTTCTTTAGGCAGGCAAATCAAAGTTTGAAATTATTTTTAGAAAATGCCATGTCCTCCCTAAAGGAAAAGGATCATCAGACCTGTTATCAGTGCACCGTTCAAAAACCTTCTCTGTTGGTATGGGGGTGCAGTGGTGCCTCATAGGCAGCTTACATGTCTGAAAAGGCATTATCCATGTGGAAAAGTATTGTGATGTGCTTGTGCTAGACTCATCAGGAGGCAAAGAAACTGACTGAAGACAGATGCGTTCAATCAGTAGAGGAGCAGCACACTGAGGTCTCAAACGAGGGTAGAGCTTTTGCAGTGGTTGTGGCAGCACCCTTTTGGAGGGAGGGTGTCGTTTGCAGTCATTTAGGGCTGCCGGCGACAAAGACAGCAAGACAGGTGGTTATGTGTTCTTGTGTCAGGAGGGGAGGCTGGGTGCCTCCTTCAGACAGTCAGGGCTGGGCTTTAGTGGGGTGCAGTCACCACCTTGGGCTCCTGCTTCTGTTCCTGTGAGCTGCTGTTCCTGCCCCCTGTTCTGATCTGGTGTGGAGCCAATCCAGGACGTCCGATCGTCACCCACCTGTCAATTCCCGGGGTGTTGGATGACATTACAAGCTTAGATCCTGGGGAGGGGTTTTGCCGCTGAGTGAGCTAAGTGGACTAAGTGAACTCTAATCTTTATGCCTTCCTTCTTTAGCTTGAGGTGGGGATTTTTATGAGTAGATGTATAAATAAAAATACTTTATTTTCATAACCTTCTTGTGTGTGGTGATTGTTTGATGGTTCTGACATTCTAGGCAAGATCTTCTGCCTGTGTGACCCACATATTTATTATAGTATATACAGGTTTTAGAACATTTGCACTCAACCTGCAACAAATCCAATAAAGATCCAGAATTTTTGAACATCTAGAATCCTCCATGAGACAAGAACAAGCATCATTCCCTCTAAAAACTCCAGCAGTTGGTCTCCTCAGTTGGATCTTGTTAAAAGATCAGGGAGCTTTGCAGAGGTAAACATGTCCCTGTCCCAACACATTTTACGTGTTGCTGCCATAAATTCAAACTGAGATATTCCTGAAAAGTTGCTCTAACAGCGTAATTCAGATCAGTTTGTATTTAACTGATTATAAACTGATTTGTGTCATGTCATCTGCTCTGGGCCTGTTTTGGTAAGTTAACATTTAATCCAAATATGGCTTCAGATCACAACATCTAATATGCAAAGTATTCCAAAGAGATTGTTTAATTTCTCACGTATTTAATGCTTTTAATGACGTAAGCTCCACAGGCTGTGCTTCAAGTTGTGCGTCAACCATCTGATCCTGCTGGGAAGAAAAAAAAAATAAAGTTCTGTTCAAGTTACTCACCACTAACGGGGCGGAACAGGTCAGAACCACCACGGAGGTCATCACTAGCACCGCGATCATCTGCGTCTCTGCAGCGGAGGACAGGAACCGCCACCTCCCGCGGCCGCTGGCTGTGCTCACGCGCCTCTGCGCGCTCCTGCGGCGCATGAGCAGCAGCGCTCCGCACACCGCCAGGTTCAGCGCGATGGTGCCCAAGATGAGCAGCAGGCTCAGCGCGCCGTACAGCAGGGTGTAGGCGGCCTTCCAGTCGATGAAGCACCAGGTTTCGGACGGCTGCAGCTCGCTCCCCGCCATGCCCAACACGGGGAGGCAGCAGAAGAAAATGTGGCTTATGTAAATAAAGAGAAGGAACTTGCGCGCGAAACAGCGGCCCACCCCCCAGCGCTGGTACGCGTAGGGCCAGCAGATGGCCAGGTAGCGCTCAGCTGCCATGGTGCAGATGATGCTCAGTCCGGTCAAACCGAAGAACAGCAACACGAAGGAGTGAAACTCGCACACGCGCTCGTTCCTCAGCACCCGCTTGTCCAAATAATCGGCTATAGTGAGCGGGCTCGCCAAGCAGGTGCCCAGCAGATCCGTGACAGCCAACCCGCACACCAGCGAGTAAAACGCGGATGATTTCCTCAGCTGACGCGACACTGAAAGGACGATAATTGCGATTATATTCCCAATGGCTCCACCAGCGAACATAAAAATGGGCAAAGCGATCTCTGTCGAGTGGGAGAGAGTCAAATGAACCGTTTCATTTGGAGCAGATCCGTGCGTAAAGTTCGGGCTCTCCATCGCCAAACTCGCGTCTGTCATTCCCTGCGGCCTGTGGCTCTGGGAGCGCATTTCCTCTTCAAGCCTCTGCAACAGATGATAAGGAGTCAACAGGGGAACGTTCCCTGGTAGTCTCATCCCCTCTGCTTTCCAGTAATCTACAAGTTAGCCACGGACGTGGATGCGCACAGCTGTGGGGCTGAGACAGGGGGGCTGTCTTTAATGTGGCTTGAAGGGTGGGATGGATCCTCTTAGAGAGAAAAATAGTTTACACTCCAAACACCATCTGTCAGAAGCTTCAGAAGGTCAACTCCACAGATGAGGCAAAAAGACCATCTAGGAAGTTCCAGCAATGTTTTAAAATCAGATTATATTTCTGGATAAAAGAGGATAACGTCATTGCAGTTAATGCATATGAAGCATCTTTTCAATATATTTTAAACAAAACGTGTCTTTCTTTTTATTGGTATGGAAGGTGGCAGGTGGCAACCTTTAAAGACTTTATGGTATTTTATCAAATCTTTACTTGGGTCTTTTTGAAGGGATTCCACTGTAGCAATTAAGATTAAAAAAAAAAAGATGGTTCAGAACAGAATATTGACAATGAAACTACTTCAGAATGGATACGTTGCAGAACTATTTACATCTAAAGACCACCCAAGAATTAGTAAAGAATCAGCAATGTTCCCACATGCAAACTCTGAAATGTCACAGTTTGTAAAGGATTACACCCAGGAATGTACTGTAAGTGAAAATTAAAGGTTTTATTAAATTAAGCAAACAATACTGACAGGGCAGCAACTACAAAAAAAAAAAAAAAAAAAAAAAAAGCTCAAGGAAACATTGAGGAGAACCAGAAGAGAGTCTTAAAACACACACAGTGCCAGACTGCAGGTGACGTGAATGGACGGGCTGATGAGTGAAGTGGAAACAGCTGGCACATTGACAACTGGGGACAGGTGAGAGTGGACGCAGCAGGAGCTGAAGGAGCAGAACCTGCTGGAGAAATGAACTGGTGACCAGAAACATTAAAAAAAATAACAGTAACATAAAACCACAAGACTTATCCATCCAGCCATCCTCTTTTACCTACTTCTTCCTTTTTGGGTCCTGGGGTCACTGGTGCCCATATCCAGCGAGCACTGTGGTGGAGGGACACCCTGGACAGGTCACAAGTCCATCACAGGGACACATAGAGACATATGAGACAACCAACAGTTCACTCTCTCACTCACACCTAGGGACAATAGAGTTGCCATTCAGCCTAACATGCATGTTTTTGGTCTGTGGGAGGGAACCAAACCCATGCATGCACGGGAAGAACATGCAAACTCCACCTATAAAGGTGGGATTTGATGCAGTGACCTTCTTGCTGACAGGCAGCAGCTCTGCACCACTGCGCCATCCACAACAAGAAACAAATAAGGGAAAATAAATTTATAAACAAAAAACAAAAAGCCACTAGAAAACAATTTAAAAAAGAAACGTAGACCATTACTGAAAAAAAACTCCTAAATTAGCAGAAAATGATTCTTCTTTTCTGTGATGGACTTGCGACCCGTCCAGGGTGTACCCCGCCCCTCGCACAGTGATTGCTGGACATGGGCACCAGCGACCCCCGTGACCCAAAAATGGAATAAACGGGTAAAGATAATGGATGGATGGATGGATGATTCTTCTTTTCAAAAGAAGCTTTCACTGTGAATAAAATGTGTTAATAGAGAAAATTCACTGAAAGTTGTTTAAATTGAAACAACTCTAAATCATTTTCCTTGTTGACAGTCTTGTCAAACTGGTTGAAAATAACAAAGTCCATGCTCAATAATCCAGGTACACAATCCAACATTTTTCAGTCATGTCATCTGGACAGTTTCTTATTTTTTTTTTGCTGAAACGTTTCACCTTCGATCCGGAAGGCTTCATCAGTCAAGGAAACACAACAAAACTGATTCTTCCCCCAACAGCTTACTCCAAACCAGTTTGACAAGACTGTCAACAAGGAAGAGGGCCAGCAATGGAGGAGGGGCGTACCAAAGAGACCATCTTATCACAAGCAGAACTGGTTTGTTCCACTTTGGAGTAAGATGTTGGGGGAAGAATCAGTTTTGTTGTGCGTTTCCTTGACGGATGAAGCCTTCCGGATCGAAGGTGAAATGTTTCAGCACAAAAAAAAAAGAAACTGTCCAGATGACCTGACTGAAAAATGTTGGATTGTATACCTGGATTATTGAGCATGGACTTTGTTACAATGAAATATACTTTATTTTTTGTTCTGTTCTTTGGCGTTGATCTGAAATGATGTAACAAAGACGGTGATGTGAATTTGTAAAAAAAAAAAAAAATGTTTTCACCGGTGTTTGTTCCAGTGCTTTGCTGTTCCCAGAGTGCAGCGTTGTGACTGTAAATGGTCGGTTTGAGAACAACAGATGGGACATATGAGACGTCAGTGCTCTTCTCCCTCTCTGACTCTGCAGCCGTCACACATTCGTTAAAGCGTTGACGTGTTTACACTGAGGAGCAGCAGAGAAGGGTCTTTGTCTGCAGCCGACCTTAAAAGACAAAACAAAACACCTCTCTGAGAGATGAAGCACTGCTTCTTGTTTCGGCTGCAGAGAAAAAGGAGCTGGGCAGGCTGTAAACACCAAAGTGATGCCAGGGCTGGGAAACTCCAAACTTACTGGAAATTCCTTCTGTTTGCCATGAATCATGGGACGTTAAGTCCTCTCTGCGTATAGATTACAGTGCTTTAGTCTTTAATGCACTTTAAATGTATTAGCTCTGCCTGTGGTCCTGAGCTGTAAAAGTGCACTGCTGTGTAAATAATCAGCCCCAATGATGTCACAACACCCTTACAAGGTGACTATAAATGTACAAAAATACCATCATCTGAGTAATAAGGCTGGACTTTCAGTCCCCAGAACAAACAGACCTAAAATAAAATCAGATTAATTTTACAGTTGCATTATTTATTTGATTTAAAACACAAAGTGGTGAGGTCATCAGTCTTCCAGTGCTGACAGCATTGCAGCTTTGTTATAAACGCAGCACTTCATATTCAATTTATGCTTTTAAATTATACGTCAACTCCCAAAAAGGCGGCCCATTGTGTAAAAATGCAAACTAAAAGAGCAAGCAATGCTCTGTAAATCTTCTAAACACGTTTTATTCACAGTGGATTATAGTTAGCACACCAAATGTTTAAACAACAGCAACAAAAAGTACAGCTTTTGAACTAATAAAGTATTTTACAATTACACACCTCAAGAAAATGATAATAATAGGAAGCTAGAGGCAAACTTTAACAATTAAAAATTACTTCTTTTTTTCATTGTTCGATTTCTTAGTTTACTTTTTTTTGTTTTTGTTTACCATGTTTCATTGTCCCGTGACCCAAGATGGAAGACGTGGATAAAAGATAATGGATGGATGTTTCATTGTGAATAAAATTATGAGATTTGAAAATCATTGAACTTTTACACAATGACCTGTCTATGGTGTCCCCACCTCTCGTACAGTGACTACTGGAGGTAGACACTCCACGTGACCCAAAAAGGAAAAGGCAGGTCAAGAAAATGGATGGATGAATGAATGGATGAACTGATTAGATGAATGGACAACGACCCAACGTTTTCAGAAACAGAGTTTGCACTAAAAGGTATGAATCCATTCATCTTGTTTGTCCCCACAGTCCAGTAAAAAGGTTGAGTCCTGTCAGCAGTTCAACCTGAGAACATTTTCCAGCAGAAGGTGTGGAATTTAGCAGCTTTGTGCTCTCCTGGACTTCTGAAGATATTTCAGTGTGTGATGGATTTAAAGTCAAATAAATGAACAAACCAAAAGTGACCAGCAGAATGGTTTTAGTGACAGTGGAGGACATGGAAAACAGCAGGAAAATCAAGTAAATGCAACAAACATTTAAAGTGAAGTTCACGTCTGTGGTTCTGAACTTTGAGGTCTGTCTGTCAACCATTTGGCTGCTGCTCTGCCATCTTTGCCCTCTGTCTCCTTGGCCGACTTTTCAGTCTGAGTTTATAGGTCAACTCACTCCACAAGAAACAAAACTCAGCAAATGAGATTTTAGAAGCCATGTGTCAAATTCTGTTCAGAGAAAGACACACTGTCTGACAACCAGCTGCTGCTTCCTCTAACCCAGGGCCGATTCTAGAACTGAACAACGTGGTGGCCATTGGCGTCAGAAACATTCATAATGTTGGGTGGACAAACTGATGGGGGGGTGGGGATGTCCTCCCCCAGAAAATTTTGAATAAAGTAGATGCTATTTCCTGTATTCTGGTGTATTTTAATGGGTTGTTAAACATCTACATTTACCTCTATAAGTAAACACTTGATTCAATAACAATTCTAGAGAGCTCGGCAAGTAGCGCTAAGCTAGCGGTGTGCAATACAAACACGCTAGCTAAGAAGCTACAGATGTAGTGCTCTGCTTTACATTACACAATAAACACTTTGTACAAAAATCAGTTTAGTGTTATCTGATCATAACAAACACTAAACTTACGCAAGCAGAAGTTGAAACATATATCTACATCCAAAATACACAAAACGAAGCACAACAGGCTTTAAGCGTTAACCTTTAATTTAACCATTAAAGATATTATGACAGAAAATGGCAGATTTACCTGTAGTTACCTTCGTACAGATGAACATGTGACACTTCCTGTTTATCACTGTTGTATTCAGCTGCTCATGAGGTCGGCCGCAGGGCTTTACCCATTTTTTTTATTTTTCCAGACTCAATTTAGGTTTGGGAACTGCATTCACTCTCTAAAGCAGGTCTATTCAACTAAACGGCTCAGGGGGCCACGGTTACTGAAAACCAGCAGGTCAGGGGCCGGACATCCAGAAATAATCAAATAAGTGCTATGTGTTGTCATCATTGTATGTTCCCATACAATTGCAAAATTAGTTCTCTGCATTTAACCCATCGCACCTGGGATACACCCACGTTATTAAGCAAATAAACCAAGTATTACAATGATCTGTTACCTTTTAAATCAGTT